ATCATGGCTCTCCACAATTTCCTGTCCTTCATAGTTCTTTATAAATTGTGTCTTTTTGTTATTTCTCCTAAACTTTGATCTGCAATCACTAAAGTGTCGTTTTTCTCCCCACCCCATTGCATTCAACCTGTCCTGTGAGTATAAGATTTTCCAAGTCTTCTTTCCTCATTGTGTGCTCTAGAAATGTCAACTGTCTCTTCCTGATGTTACGTATAAGTATTTTTGTTTCCATTTTCTCTAAAGCTTCGTCGTTGCTCATGTTTGGTCTATGGTATCCTCAGCACGCTTCTGTAGAACCACATTTCTGTTGCTTCAAGTCTCTTCTTTATCTGTGAAGAGAATATCCAGTATTCACTTCCATACAGGAAGACTGATATTACGTAACAGTTCATTACTCTTTTCTTTGTTTCTAACGCCAGCTAATAAAAAAAACTGACTTAATTTCTCACACATAATATTAAATTTTATTTAGTTCAGGATAATTTCAATTAAAGTTGGCTAGTGTCTGTGCGTGTGTGTATGCGCTCACACGTGTGTGTGTACAACCCCAGATCCTTATCCGAACGTGGTCATTACATTCTCGAATACGATATCTGAGCAGCTCCTATTCTCTCTGGGGTGCGTGTTTATATATCAGCCTCTAACACGGTTATTTCTCGTGCGTACATCGCAAGTGCAACTGGCCCGATCCCATAGATTTGCACTCGGCAGCCAAAAGGTCATCCTTAAGGCAACGCTGTATTTTGGCTTCTCCGAAGGACACCCAGTGCAAAATCTATTCGAACACGACCACCAACAGAACTTATTCTTCGTACATTCGCTTTTGCTAACACATCATTTTAGACGTTCTGTTCTTCAGTTCTTATCAGGTGATTTCTGTGAGGTTTATTTCTAGAGGCAAGGCCTCTCGTTTTCTTTCCTTTACAGAATTCATCTGCAAATGTCTGGAGAATAGATCAACCGAAAGGATGTGATAAAAACAGCAACTGTATACAGCTGTTAATGACTCTTATCAAAAACAATATAACTGAAACTTATATTTAAAATTTGTAAATTTTGACATCAAATATATCCAAGGACACAACCTCATTGAGCTTTCAGCAGATTTTCCTTTTACTCCTATCACTTCTATGTGCTGTCTTCCTTCAAGATGTAGGCGATCATGGCTCTCCACAATTTCCTGCGTCCTGGGTAAGACGATAAACTACATCCAGCAGCAAGGAGGGAAGTTTCAAGGAACGTGGAACCACCTATTGAATGCTGTTGTTTCAGGGTCCACAATAAGCCGGGGTGGTGGCACCTGTTGGGGTCCCGGCTGTAGCCAAGTAGTTGACGCCCAAACTAGGGACAGAACGCTGTGAAGGTGTAGAAATTGATTTTGTAATAAAAATACCAGCAATACATTTTTAAAAAAAATAAAATACTAACAATGCATTTTTAAAAATAAATATTACCGGCAATACATTTGACTCTCGACAAAAACTCTCTTTACAAAACTATGTCAATGAAACCTAATCTACAAACTGCTTTCTTACAAAGAATACATATACTATTCATACATACCTATCCTAAAAATCTTGTTGACATTAAATAACCCATTGAGGTTGATATGACGTAAAACAAAATAAACCAAACAATTTCCTGTCCTTCACAGCTCTTAATAAATGTTATCTTTTTGTTATTTCTCTTAAACCTGAATCTGCCATCCATTTACTCAAGCTCTCTAAGTAGGTTATTCGTTGTTTTCCTCTATCCCTCTTGCCTTCAATCTGTCCTGTGAGTATCTGATTTTCCATACCCACTTTCCTATTATATACCTTAGAAATTTCAACCGTTTCTTCCTGATGTTAAGAATAAGTTTGTTTTTTCTTTCTATTTCCTCTAAAACTTCGTCTTTGCTCACATATACGGTCTAAGGTATCCTCAGCATCCTTCTGTAGAGCCACATTTCTTTCGCTTCAAGTCTCTTCTTCATCTTTGAGGAGACTGTCCAGCATTCACTGCCATATAAGAGGACAGATATCACATAACAATTTCGTACTCTTTTCTTTGTTTCTAATGAAGTTTTTCAGTTTCTTAATACTCTGTTAAGCTTTTACCAATATTGCTTTTAAATAACCCACAATATAATAGCCGTAGTTTTGTTAAAAAAGAAGATAGGCTGTATGATCCTGGAAGTAAATTTATTGTAGGGTACTCAGAAGTTAGTGTACTTTCAATACATTTTTGCTTTGATAAATTACTTTCTAATTTCTGTCTGAATTTCTGGGATGAGGTGTTTATCATTATTTACACTATTGTCTTCATCTTTGTTGTTGTTACTACGTTTTGGCCGTTGCGTTCTTCGGCCTTCTTTAGGTGTATATTGATCTGGGTTCAGAATTCCCTGCAGGTTACTCAGATGGATATACACCTGAGGAAGGATTACACAACAGCTGAAATGTAGAGATAATAACAACAAAGATGAGGATAATGGTCTGAATATAAGTAATGTAAATAAATTACTTTTTTAAAAAACTAAAACTGCATTCTTTAAGTCAGCAGTATGGTCAGACCTGTTACGATAAATTACTAATGCAATGAGTGTATTGTTTTATAAAAATCCCTTTTATCTTTATATAATCTTTTATTAAGTTTCTAGATATCTCACTAGGCATGGTGGAATAATGGATTGTGGCTCAGATTGAGGAATCGGAGCGCTGAGTTCATTACATTCACTTATGTGCTAATACCATTGGGAAATGTACGATTCCACCTCTCCCCACTCACACTATGAGTAAATAGGAGAGCAGTTCGAGCTCTGTAGCCATGGTTGGCAACCAGACTAGGAGAAGGAGAAATCTGAATCAGGAGCTGGAGTCTGAGATTATATTTTGTTCTGGCAACTCCTGCAATGATGCCGGTGCCAAGCTGTATTAGCCTCTGCCTTTCCCTTGGACAACATCAGTAGTGTGTGGAGCGGAGACATGCTGCATAAAAAAAAAATAAACTTGCCCAGTCCTGCGTTCTTTGGGCACTGATCCATGGTCTGTCAAGACCAACAGATGCCAATATAGATATTTAACCAATATATTATTTGGGATATTACTGTTACCGTCCCAAATTACTGTAGCAAAAATGAAAATGTTAATGATGAGATTACATTATATAACAATTCATTGACTTACACTTACAGCAGCTGGCTTCTTTATATATTTCAGTTGGTATACTTTCCTGTCTTCAGTAGGTATGCATTGCATCCAGTAACTTTCAAGGATTTTAAAAACAGAACTTTTTATGGTATCTTATGCATGCCTTTTGTTCCATCAGGATCAAAACAAACCTCATATCATCCAATTTTATTATTGATTTATCCTTTCTTATTGGCGTGTGTGATGCATGAAACTGTAGACTGTGTTGCATAGGTCCACAGCTTCTCCACACTCGGTGTAGCAAGTAGTTTATTTTTTTTACATGGTGACATTGGCAGCTCCATATTCAACCGGTTTTGAATTCAGAGTTGACCTTCTTCTAAACTGGTTACCAACCAAGGCTAGAGCACAAAGTTAGGGAGGAGAAAAGATGTATTCACACCTTTCACAAGTGCAAAAATGAATGCATTGCCTCAGCCAGAATTTGAACTCAATTTGCCGATCCCAATCTCAATGCCGATAACCATTATGCTAGATGCAACTTATTCAATTCTTTATTCATAATTAATTCTCTACAAATGCGTGTGTTCCTTTGGTAACGCACAGTATTCACTGAACAGCTTAAACACCCTGCACACTCAAAAGATAAACATTTAAATAGACAATGTAAAAAAATAAAAATAAAGCAAAGGTAAAAATCTTGGTTGAATTACAGAGATGAGGTATGGTTAGATTCAATGATTGTTTCAGATCTGAATCATTTTTGTTTTTTTACAAAGTTTTGGCAAAAAACAACAAAGATGCGAATGTTAACCCCCAAAACTTATTGAATGTGACTGTTGGTCAGGACAACTTTGAATGTCAAAGTTATTTAGATTGGGTCTTGGGTCTGTCAAAGTTAACCTTTTTAAATAAAATTAAACCTTGGAACTAAGTTAATGGTAGTAAATAGTAATAGATGGGACTTTAGTCTTTGTTCATATCTAAAATATGTTTAGTAAATATCAATGGGGGATTCAAAAAGAATACCTCCTCTCTGAATCCCACACCTAAAGACATTATTTGAGTTTAGAAAAGAAAGTTTCTCTTTGTTGAATTAATGGTAAACACAAGATTACATATAGTTTTGACACTTGATACATTTGCAGTCATTTCTGGATTAACATTTTGCAAAAGGCAACATATTTACAAGACAAAGTTGACAATATGGCAATTGGTAGTCCAGCACTTGACTTAGTATATTCTGTGCCAAATGAGGTTAGTTGCGTAATGTCCCCCTTTTTGAAATTTATGCCTTGTCTTCATTTTGTTCTCTGCATATATTTTGTTCTCTGCATATTCATTCTGTTGTAGATATAATGAAAACCGGGGCACAATTACAATAGGTCACTTGAAATCCTTGCAACAGACAGACTAGTTTATCTTGTCGTCCTACAGACGTTGCCATTAATCTCAAAGTTGTTGTTTTGTTTTTAATTTTATCTTACTTTAATTATATTCTTAGCAATGTCTGTTAATATCATGGTTGTGTAAAGCCAAAAATCTCATCCCTATCAATCCAAAACAAGGTTGAATCATTGAAAAAGCCTTCTGACCATGATCAGTGAAGATGGAATGGATAGCCAGTGATGGTATATTTAATTAGTATTAACATCTGATAATCCAGTAATACCATTAATCTGGTAAGTCTTTGGATGTTTTTCCTCATGCAAAAGCCGGTCAATTGGTGGTGTATCCAATCTGAATAGAATCAGTATGAATGTTGTACAATTGTGGCAGATATACATAAACCCCATCAGCTGCTGGCATGTGATAAGAAAGGCACTGCTTAAAAAGGCTCTTTTGCTGATTCAGTGCATTTCCACCAGCTCAAGAGCAACCATGCCCAACAAGAAGGACAAATACTGTCAGAACAGATAGCAACTTCCATTGAACATATCGGCAAACATCTGGAAAATAAAAGAAAAAACTATATTAAACATTGCAAAAGTGATAATAGGATCAAATAGAAAAATTTTAATAAGCACAAAAGATTATAACTGATCTTAATTACAAGATGCCCAGTAAAAAAAGCAATAAATTCAGAAAGACATGAGACACTGGTGATGACTAATGTGACTGAAAAATTCAAGAAGAATTTCTGTACATTTCATCAATCTCTACATTGGATGTTCTTTGAAAAGTACAATAACTTGATGCCCAGAATCAATGAGTCGTTTAGCTATACAAGAAGGGCAGAATGAAAGACGAAAGTTGTCTGCAAATAACCTTTAAATGATGAGTCACAAGATTGAGCTGCAATTAATCAATCATAAAAAGAACCAATCAAAGTAATTATGTGAGAGTTGAATGATTATTCAAGGTCATGTATATTCAAGGTCAATTATTCCTGAAAGATAAAACAATGATAATAAATTAAATTTGCTGCTTTTTTACTAGGCACCCTGTAATTTTTGACTGAAAGTAATGTATTTTTGTTATTACAAAAATTAGAACATAAAAAAAAAGTCTAAACTGGTTTGAACATATAACTGTGAATACAGACCCCACATACTTGCTTCATCTTTTCATCGACTGGACAACTCACCCCACAATGCATTTCAATTCCTGCTTTTATCAGTGTGAGCAAAAATCTTGGGAACAGAAAATCAGAATAATGTATTAGTAAGAAAAGAAAACCTAAATCTGATTCTGAACATATTGGTTATTTAGTCACAGGTTCACCAAGTACAGTCTGGTGGGTAGATAAGTAACACTTGGGTCATCGCTGCTACTTCTGTCTCCTCTCATGACAAAGTAACCAGGTCTTCCTTTAGCAAAATGAGAACTCTGACAGCCCCTTTGCCCATCTATCCCTCTAACTGTCTCTACATATCTGATCACAACTGCCCCTCTCTACAACTGGCTGTGTGACTAACTCTCTGCATCTTTTAATTTCCTCTTTCTCCACTTACTCTAAGTGTAACTTTGCCTACATAGAAACTCACAGACAGAATTTCATAAGTTCCAGCCGAGTGGCACTTGATCCCAAGATTTTTTATTTATTTATCAAATTAATTTTCCTTTCCATATTTGTGGACAGTGGGTGGTTACTTTGAAGCTCTCAGCTCTCAAGTTTATTATTGGTTGTCATAAAAACGGACTGTGATAAGTCCAAGATCATTTAAAGCACATTTGACTTTGTAGGTGTTAGAAATAATCAATGGTGGGGCCAGTTGTGTCACATAATTCAGATGAGGAGAATGCATCTTTGTCTATACATCCTAAAAGACAACTTCTCTTGCAAAAGATCATGTTATTGACCACCTAAGAGATAGGAAGAATAAATCAGAGAGGACACAGGAGTGCCATTTCTGACACCTGAAAGGATTGCCTGAAACAGGAAGAAATGGCAAAATTGTGTGGAGAGGAAATGCACAATGATCTTTTTTGGATTATGCAACCAACTCAAATCCAGTTAAGCACAAATTATTCTGTGTGCAGACAGAGTGTTGAAGGACAAAATGATGAGTAGATTAAATATTGAACAGACAAAGTGTCAAATGGACAAAGTGTCAAATGGACAAAGTGTCAAATGAACAAAGTGTCAAATGAACAATGTGCTGAAAAGTCAAACTCACTAAATGACAAAGGCCAGAAATATGCCTACAACAGAATACCTTTTATTTAGCATGCGAGTATCCTGCTGGTAAATAACTGTTTTTAAATTTTAAGCTAATATAAAAACCAATGATTGTGGAGGCTTAATCACTTTTAACGCTATTATTTATAAAATGATGCCAAAGCTAAGCAATAAAAAGGTTTAGAATAGTTTAATTGATTATTTGAACCAATTTTTTTTTTTAAAATCATGATGATATGTTCATTTCTACTTCATTCGAAATTTTGTCCCTTTGAAAATTTATGTCCGTTCATCATTTAGTCAGTTTGACATTTTTTCCGTCCAGCACTTTGTTCCTTTGACACTTTGTTCATTCAATATATAGTCCACTCAACACTTTGTCCATTTGGCATTTTATCTTTTGACGCTCTGACCTACTACTAATTATTTAGAATAGTGCCCTCATCATTGTTGTTTTGACAAAAACGTTTTGACCAGTACGTTTTCCGGTCTTCCCAATCTCGCATCATTTTGTATGTGGACTATTGACTGATCATTAATCATTGACCATTGGCACAACAAATAGAATTTTCCTTCTTTTATAAACCCAGATGATGTCTTTAGATCTTAGATTCAATTGATCAATTGAGTGATTTGTCTTATCAAAATTTTGCATGTTATTTAAATCCAGAAAATATTTTGTTTAGATTGTAAGAGAGGAGATAATAATAATTTACTGATGTGGGGAGATAATAATAATTTACTGATGCAAGGCCTACTAATTAACCCATAGATGGGGTACAAAAGGTGGATTCATACCTTTCCCAATAGCATTTGTGTGAAAGTGAATGCCATGGTATTCGAAATTACTGAGTTTTCTTTCTAAGCCATAGGACATTACATTACACACACATCCTCCGATGCCCCAAGTGATTAATACATTCTGATTAGATGATCATGGATTATCTCACATATTTCTCTCATGCTAAAACACTACAAGAGGTAAAATGTACCCTATAATTAGCTAGGTATTTTTTTTGAGGATTTAATAGCTTAACGTGCTAGCAAGTCCAAGTCAATGACTTTGCAGTGTCGTTTTTCTTTTTGTCACAATAAATTATCACATTTTGGACCTATTATTTAATATCTATGTTTATTATGAATTAGATTTTCAATAGTTTAGCTCAAGTAGTTTTTCTTTATTCTTTCATATCAGAAACAACTCATACTTGGCGCCACAAGACACTAGTAACTGACAGTACATTTAGAATTAATGGTAGGCCTATTATAGATTGGAGTTTGTACAGTATACCGAGATCAACGAAAAACTTACAGTACCAATAGGAAGCTGCCTACTAGTTATCATCAATACTAAATAAAGCTGATATGATATTAATGGAATACACAGTATTTTTTACATATGAATGATATTTGCAGATTTATATGTCTGGGGTTTGTGGCGTTTGTCTGCAAGTTCAAGAAGGTTGGCAAACTCCTCTCTACAACTTGACCTTTCAGTGCTAAGATGCATGGAGATTTTTGTAGTCATTTTTCAAGAAAGAAAATGCATCTTAGCATATGGTAAATACGTAGTAAAATTATTTAATCATGAAAGGTGAGAACAAGACATCAGACTATTTTTCTACCAACTCCATCATTATAAAGGAGCAGTTTTAAGTTTAAATGATTGTGTCTTGTTAAATATTAGTAGAAATATAAACTGTTAAGTTGCTTTCATCCACTTTATATAACATCTTTTGAATCATTTTTACACTTTTGTTAATTTTTGGTGATCAGAAAAGAAAATTTCTGTCCATAGTTTCTTTGTTGCAGAATTAAAATCCACATTTTGGCCAGAATATTTTAAAATTATGTTCTTCTTGTTCCCCCAATACAAGGATCAGTAGGCAATCAAGATTCTTGATAAAATCCAAAGAATCTGCAGTATTATTGGTCCTGACCTGGCATCTCAGCTTCAGTCACTTTCCCACTGCTGTAACATAACTTCCCATTACCTTTTCTATAACTATTTTCATGATAATTGTTCTGATGAACTCTTCTATGGTACACAGACTTTATGAATTTAAGTGCAGTACTAGCTTGGTAGCAAGGTCTCATTATATTACAGTTAAATTAGCTAAATATAACTACAATTTCTTTAATAACAGTTTCTTTTCTCACACTTCTCACCTGCAGAACTGTCTTCTGGATTGTTGCTATCCAGCCAACTTTGATCTTCAAAAGTTTAAATGAAATGTCAATCATTATCTACTGTCTTCTTGATTCCTCTTCCTTTATTGTTTTCGCTCCTTAATATTTTTATTTTCCTTATTCTTTCACATCTAGTGTCTTAGTGGATTTATTGCCTTGCTTGGGGGGAAATGATTAAAAAAGATAGAGACCTACTGAATAAGATGTGTGTTATGAATGTAAAAGGAGATGGTAGAAAGGGAAGATTATGAGAATAAGGAGGATGGATAATGACTGACACTTGATTTCAAGAGGTTAAGATTCTCGCAGGAGTCTGTTTCACAAAAGAGTGGGTCTTGGGAGAAAGCTGCTTGAGTGAAACTTCTTCCTTACAAATGGAACGGGAATATAAATCCTCCAGTGACACATACCCTTTTTTTTTTTTGGCTTACCTGAGGATGATTCAGCTGTCACATCGAATACAAAATTGTAGTCTCGTTCTTTATGTACAAAAGAAACGTTCTGATGCAATTTAACAAATAGGAATTCTGTTCGGGTGCAGAATGTAGCATTTGGGAAAGTACTGTTGAGAGTTAGCGTCTGAAAAGAGAAAGAATCACAAATTGGGAATCAATTATGTATTTAGTTTCTAAACATGCAAAATCTGTAAATTTGTATCTGTCTATATTTCTGAGATGAGGTATTATGTACACTATTTACATTATTCAGACTATTGTCCTCATCTTTGTTGCCACATTTATCACAACGTTTCAGCCATTCAGTATCTGTCTATATTTCTGATATGAGGTATTATGTACACTATTTACATTATTTGGACTATTGTCCTCATCTTTGTTGCCATATTTATCACAACGTTTTGGCCTTTCAGTATCTGTCTATATTTCGGAGATAGGATATTATTTACACTATTTACATTATTTGGACTATTGTCCTCATCTTTGATGCCATATTTATCACAACGTTTTGGCCCTTCAGTATCTGTCTATATTCCTGAAATGAGGTATTATGTACACTATTTACATTATTCAAACTGTTTTCCACATCTTTGTTGCCATATTTATCACAACATGATAGAAGGGTCATGCTTTGGCATAATGATTGCAGGAATCTGACAGCAAGCGGAAGCCCTGGTTTGACAGAATTGTATTTTTTATACATATATTATATTTTTATAGAGCCTTATTATCTGAGGGAGATTGCTTGAGAAATTTTTTCAGCTATATGTTACCATGTCGGCTGCTTCCATTTCTCAATGAAGTATATTGAACCCACATTAGACAAATCTCCTTTACAGAATAGGCTTCGCTTTTCAAATGGGAATGTCTTTGGAAGAAATCTTTTATATTTGTCATGTAGTCAACCCATTTCACTTGAATCTTTTGTAACATAGCTTCAACATGATACTAATCGAATAATGAAAATGTTTATGTCTAACAAGAGTCTCTAACTCAAGGTTTGTACACTTTTATTCCTAAGTGTGATAAAATCAATGCAGTTTCTTTTTTATTTTTCCCATCTCATTCATTCAGCAACAAAAATGCTCTTTAATATTACAGGTATTTTATTGCTATAACTTGTTCTGTTTTCATAGACACATTTAAAAGAGGAATGTTGTGTAGAAAGCAGACTTACCTTCTCTACCCTAATTGCTGAACATGGACTCATTCATCCACTATGAATAGAATGTCTGTTCATAGGAACGGTCATTGCAAATTGGGTTACAAAGTGTAGCATTTGAGTTGTACGCATTGCCACATTGAACTATCGTATTCTCTATTACTGCATTATTAATCAATGTCTCTCAGGTAATTAAACCTGTTCTTCACTCAACCTTTTGTTTCGGTGTTTCCTTACAGTATTATTAACCAGAACTATGAGCGTTAGAAAGAACTTTATCACAAGGAACAAGAAGCAATCTTTCATTTAGCAAATGAATGTAGTGTTAAATAATAGTTTAGCAAACTAATATTTTTTAGAGGAAGTGAATCTCTGTTCAGACTTCCTGAGGTTGAGCTTCAAGGTCAGATTGAAAACATAATAAGGAAGTTGATTTTGAATGGCTGAGCTAACATGAGAATGATAGATAGAAAAAGGTTTTTCAGTGAGTCAAGTCTTAACCATCATGCAATGTAGACATGTTCTCTTTCATGTCTGAAACGGCTCCCCAGTGGATAGTTAGTACATGTTGACATTAATAAATTAGATGTAAGTTAAAATTGTCCATGTTGGAGTTTTTTTTATCTCTGAACCAAAACATCTAGTAACACCAGCCAAGAGAAGATATGCAACATTATAATTAAATTGGCACTGTTGATCTTCCAGCATGAAGGGCCTATACAAAAGTAATAATCACTGCCGTCATTACCTGGTAAAAATGTGTGGCAATAAGACAGAGCACAGGAATGTTGGGTTTCATACTTTTTCCAAGAGCATTAGTGTGAAAGTGGCACAAACACTCAGAGGCAGAAATCAAATTCTGTTAATTCCAGTTGGTTACACACTCCCTACATAAGAATTCTTAAGTCTTATAAAACAGATAATCCTTAGAGAGATTGGTTCCTCTATCAAACCTCATAGAATATTTTATAAGTGAGAGTCAAATTAACTATTACAGTATGAGTATGTGATACATGCCAAGTAATACCAGAGGTCTTAACTGAATTTAATATCCATCAGAAATTTTGATCTAAGAAGAACTGAACTGTAGTGACCCAAATATGTACAGGGATCACCCTAAAAAATAGCAAAGTAAGCTTTTGTTGTAACCTAGGGAAGGTGACTGAATAGAAAAATCACACAAAGCTTGATAATGAACAATAGTACTTAGGACAAGAACAACACATATAAGATATGTGGTACATAGAATTAGTAGTCAACTGCTAGAAGTGAGTCAAGTGAATTCTATAAAGAAGACCAACATACAGTATTTACTACTGTATTTATGTGAATGGGATATCCATGCTACAACAGTTTTGTACTTTATGTCGCCTCAAATATCAAAAGACAAGAGCTCTGATGGTTGACTTAGAAGGCAACATTAAAGCTACCAAATGCAGAATCAGGCCTCAAAACCTGTTGATGGTTGTGCCAATATAAACAAGGAATTAAAGCCAGCTGAACTTAAGATATACACACATAAGACAATTCTTGGATAATTGGAAGTTATATATATGTCTGTTCTACAAGGGGAGAAGGGGAATCCCTCACACTATGGCAAAAAGATTGAATGTTCGATGAAGTTACATATTCTCAATTTGGCCAACTGTAACTTGACAGAATTCAAAAGTAAATAAACAATTATTTTATGTATGGAAATTTTAGTCTCACATTCTTATCAGATGTTTACTAGAATAACTATAAATATATGAATCTTTTAATTTAAAAATACTTTTAAAATATGTTTAATTGCTTTTAACTTTTGTTAACAGGAGTAGATAGGTTTGGCTATCATTGGATTCATACTCCCCCCCAGTTTTTTGAACAGGTGTATAGGTTTAACACTTGTTTCCTGTATCTTCTAAAGTCTACTTCAATTCTTTGCTTCTGACATCTCCACCTAAACTCTGAAACTTTATTTACTATTTATTTGTTATTTTTCATCAATAGGACTAGATAGGTTTGCCTATCTCCCAGTTCACACTCCTCCTCGGTCTTTTGAACAAGTGTAGAGTTTTATTCCTTGTTTACTGCTTATGATTGGGTTTCCCGTTCCTAAAGTTTTCTCATTTTCTTTTACTCGCAGTAGCCCTCTTGTGTCTTTATCACCTTGCTTGGGGTGAATTGATTAAAAAAAAATTTGTAATAGTTTTATTATATTCTTTTGTGGTTTTTATTCTAAATTTAGCCCAAATCAGAAACAGAAAATTGAAAGAGAATGATGTAGGAATATTATTATTATTATAAATAAATAAAAATAAAATATAAAATAATAATGAATCTTATAAATAAAATAAAACAACATTTAAACTTGTTTAAAATAAATTAAATAAAAAATAAAAATAATAAAACTCTCCCAGCAATGCAACAGCATGTTGGAAATACGAACATCCTGCCAAAAGACATTAAATTCAATCTCTTCATGAACCTTTTTATAGGTAACATGTGTCCAACTTCTGTCTGTGATATGGTGTGTAATAATAAGAAGTAACTCCTTCTTATCATTACATGTACCAGGAAACAATTGTAACCTAAAAAAAATATACACACCAATGCACACAAAAAATATAAATTGTATGAAATTAGCATACAATCTACCATGCTTTTGCTGTTATTTGTGTATATTTTATTTCCTGTCATGTTTTTATCTCCGTGAACACAAGGCTAATTTCTGCTGCTATGATGTGAATGAATCCCTCACAATATCTTAAAAAGAATGAAACTTACCACAATTGGAACTTGTTCTGTCAGGAGAAATATTAGACTCACATCACTGCTGTTTGGTCCAATGTAGAAATCTCTAAATTCAACACACATTAAACCTGGCCGGTGGTGGACAAAAGTGAGGAAGCAGCCACTCCACGATGCCAGATGGCCTGATTCATCCGGCCACGTTTTCACTCGAAAATGGTTACGTCCATCAAATCGGAAGGTTTTATAACAGTCATTTCCTTTCATTAAGAAAACTGGATGCACAATGAAAAAATAATTAAATTTTAATTTAAACTTAGAAATAACCAGAACAACAAAAACAAATAAAAAGAGGACTACATCAACCAGACACAATCAAGAATAAACAAACGACTTATAAAGAAATTAAGTTAATTATTACACCTATGAAGTAATACACATTTTACATTCAGACTATTGTCCTCATCTTTGTTGTTATTATCATAACTTTTCACCTGTTGTGGCCTCTAGCATTCATCAGATGTATATTGGTTTGTGTAACTAAGAGGGAATTCTGAATTGAACACTTTATTTAATCTATGGTGATAGACTGTTCTTATTCATTTGCTCATGTCTAGGGATATCTTGAATAGTTCTTATTTTCAGCACTACTCAGTTATTGCTCATCCATTTCTACTGAGTCCAGGTACACACTGCCTGACTCATGGATTGAACTCAGACTCACTATGTCACCAAATTCATGAACCAATATTTAAATCCACTAGGCTGTTGTCCTTTAGTGAACTTGGAACCTTAAATATAATCTACCTACTGATTATTGTTGCTACTTTTCAAATAAATAATGATAACTCTTCATCCCAGAAATTAATTCCCTGTGGGTTACCCAGCTTTATATACACCTGAGGAAGGCTGAAGGACACAACAGCTGAAACATGGTGATGACAACAAAGACAAGGGCATCAGCCCACAGTGTAAATAGTGTAAATAATGATAACTCCTCGTCCCAGAAATTTAGGCAGATATGAAGCTATAGCTTTAAGTTGTCCAAATTCATTAGATGAAGAATTGTCTTAATTTTAATTAATTTTTCTTTTCATTTTATTACCATTATTTTGTTTAGTGTTCCATTTACTGGTCACACTTCAAATTTCGCAAAAAGAAAATACAACATGTGTAGATGGTTGCTGGGCTTTCAGAGCAATAGAAAGAGTGTTTTTTTTTTTCAATGTTGTAGAAAACAGGTTGGCTTCTAGTTATAAATAACAGGTAGGTTTACTCATAATTAAAAGCCCACACCCTGTAAAAACAGTGAATTTGGTAAGAACTTCCTTCATCTATGTACTTTCAGGACATTGGCAATGATAGTGCTCCACAATTTCTTGTCCATTGTAGCTCTTAATAAATAATAATAAATAAATTAAATTAGTAATTAATAAATTTTTATCTTTCTGTTACCTCCCCTAAACCTTGTTCTGCCATCCATTTAATCAAGCTCGCTAGGTAGATCATATTGTTTTTCTCTGTCCTTCTTGTCTTGAATCTTTCCTGTGAGTATCAAATTTTCCAAACCCTCTTTCTTCATTATGTACCCTAGAGCTATTTTATTGAATATATATACCCCCATTCAATAAAAATACCTCTAATTTAAATATGATGAATTCCAAAAGATTTTGAAAGTATTAAAAACAGTACACAAACCCAAAGAACGATTGAGAGTGGGGCAGGAGAATAAAACAAAGAGAATGAATTCAGCAATTAATGAAAAGAGAAAAGCATTTTTCTGTTAAAACAATAAGTTTACAAAATTCAATCATTTTGTAAAAAAATGAGCTTACGATATATGACCACCATCTTGAATTCTACTGGGGTTTCGTTCGGGGAGGTTGACGGAACTAGCCCGCTTGGACGGGTTTAGATGGGTTTTATTTTTGGCTGGGCCTACGGGCTCAGACATACCCACATTAAAAAGGCCTTGTGCCACATTCAATTCCTGTGGGTGAATTGATAAATACCATCTTGAATTCTACTGCTTTTCTATTGCCACCTTGCAGAGTGGCTGGTAAATGGAACGCTGGCCTTATCTTTTTTTTTATTGCAATACTCAATGTTGCTTTTATGTTAAACAGAAATAAAGAATAGATTTTTAATGCATTCTTAAAAGCAGATAGAGCAAGTGATGCAAGTTCAAGTCTTGTTGGAGGCTTATTTATTATAGTTTTTTGATTTATTCACAGTTGTCAAATATAAAAAAAACAATTGAATGTAATGGTAAAAGGCAAAACAAAAAGTAGCTAAAAATTGATAATAATTGTGTGGGATTATCCCGTCTTGTCTATTAGGGAATTGTCACTTAACACCTATTAGGTGGTGTTTTATAAAGCAGCATAAATAGAAAGAGCACAAAGCATATTTCTCTCTCTCTCTCTCTCTCTCTCTCTCTCTCTCTCTCTCTCTCTCGCTCTTCAACCACAGAATGACATAGTGACAAGATGTCTTGTGTTTTCACACTTCTTATTCCCTAGTGAACCACGTGTTGCATTGTATACAACACAATACTATCACTACACTATCTCATTTTTGGAAAAAACTCATGTGACCACAAAATATATCCACTATAAACTATCATATAAATATATATCTCCTTTTAACACAGGAAAATATCTAGCTTCAAAAATCAAAGTATCTATCTATCTTAGCCTCTTCATTATCATTCCATCACCCACTTCATGCTCTATATCTATCTATTTATCTATCTATCTATCTATCTATCTATCGATCTATCTATCTTAGTCTCTTCATTATCTATTTTAGGCTCTTAATTCACTGGTCAACAACAAATTTATTGTCTAAATTTTTTTAGTTGATTTAGGACAATTTTGATGTCCTGAATCAAAACTCACATTGGTTTGGCTCAATCAGGTTAACTTCTTGAGCTATGGCCACATGCTGTCTTTATGTTTTCGTTTACATTTTTATGTCCATTAAAATATCTAAATATGCAATATATTTCACACAATAAAACTAATTATTATATTAATTATAAACTTATTAATCTTAAATCATCAGAAGCATTTGCAACCAAAAATAGCTACTGAAATATTAAAAAGAAAGGTTGTTTTATTAGTCATTATAATTTAGGTATAGTGCCAGTTAGGAATAAGTAAAATTATATAATTCAGGAATCAATTTCTCAGGAATAAAGGTATAAATATCACAATATTTGACCTCAAAAACAGAGTCAGATTCCACTAAGGGCCATGTCACCCTAACTGCTGATATTCAAAACCTCATTCGCTTCCACATGCACTATCAAGAAATGACTCAGCAGCACTAACCAAACGTGAAAGGGACTGCCTTCAGACACTGGTACAGTCATCTATGGTAAGAGCTTAATTCTATCTCTCTCCTTTATACTCATTATTACTACATAAGCATACACATACTATCTCACACAAACACACTAGTAACAACATTTCACCTTTCTCACATATGTACACAATACAGTTTGTACTATACACAAGAACTCTTTTAACAAACAGAAAAGAATTGTAATATTTTCCATTTATGATTAGTAAATACAGTTTTTATTTAATATCAATCACTTGGGTGAACAATAGTAAAAAGAATATTGATCAATAAACAGGCAGACAGAGATTGGGGGGGAATATAGAAATCTCATTTGCCTCTAGTATAATATATTATCAATATTTTGAATTCAGTTTTATTACATCACAATCTCTTTTAGTCTTTAGTCTCTCTATTCACCTTTCTCTCTCTCTCTCTCTCTCTTTCTCTCTCTCTCTCTCTGTCTTTTACTCTCTGTATCCCTCACTCTTTATGTTTTCTTATCTGACGCTCAACACAGTCTGGGTTTTATATGATCTTTGATCAGATGAATATCATCTATTTTTATTATATTACAAAATGATTATAATTATTAAAGATAGATTTTAATTTTAAAAGGTTAGATGCCATTCAGGATCAAATTTGTCCTCAACAGATCGTTAGGTCACAAGATATGATTAAAACCCTTCACTGCAAACAACTGCCTTTGAGAAAATATTGGGCCTCAAGCTCACACCTGATCTCAGATGGTACTCTTATATATGGTCCATCGCTAAAGATGCAGGTAAAATGATTGTCTCACTGTACCGATCCAGTAAGTACCTGACGTCTAATGGAAGTGAGCCCAGTCCTTACTTTCCAGTGTTGATAGAGTTCAAAAACATCACAGAGTCCTTGTTAGAGAAGAATTATTTTCTACCCTCCAACCTCTCTCTCACATTTTTTTGTAGTGAGCCTCTCACAACTCTATCTCTACTCCCATAGAAAGTGCTTGGAAGAAATACATTCCTTGGTCCCACTAGATCTAACCTTCATGTCTAGCACCTGCTCTGCCACTTATATTGTAACACACCACCCACATTTTGAAGTAATTTCAATTCAAACAGCTTTTTACTGCGAACCACTGCTCCGTGGAACAGATTCCCAAGAGAATGTTTCCCTGATAACTATAATCTTAACCTGTTCAAGTCTAAAGTTATCCATTATCTTCCCTTCCTCTCCATACAAACTATCCCTTAACATAACACTCTACTGCCAGGTCTTGTACAGGGTGAACTTTACTGTAATAAAATAATAATAATAATAATAATAATAATAATCTAAAATGACACACTTCTAACCCTTCTCTGTGTTACACTCTCTTTTATCTCTCTATGTCTATCTCTCTCTTACTGTTTGACTCTTTCTGTCTCTCTCTTTCTGTTTCTCTCTTAGTATCTGTGATATCAAGTGTGACACACACCATACTTAGGTGCAAGCGTATTAAAACTATTAGCTGTGCAACCAGTCAAGGATTTAGTTAGCTGGCCTGAAATGTTGAAAATATTCGACTCACCATTGTCAGTAGGAATGACGTCAAACTCTACATCTGGGGACTGCGTTCCATTTAATATCGGATACTCTGTTCTGATACTAAGTGTATTGGTGTTGGTACAGAAGATGTGTGGTTGCTCACCTTTTGTAATTCGCTGCAACAATGAAATGAAATATCATTTAATTACATACAATTTAGAGATAGCAGAACTGATTTAAATAATTTTCCTTTTATTTAGTTATTTAATCATGTAGTTGTGGTGTCTACTGTTTGTCGATAGAGATCAAGTGAAAGTAAATAACTTCAACTATGATATGGGCATTCATAGGTGCATATGAATAATAAAAGAAGCTGTTGAGAAACTGAGCAAGGTATCAAGTGAGAGGAAAATGTCCTTAGAAACAAAAAAAAGACGGACTGCTAAGTAATATCTGATCTCTTGTATGATAATGAATGCAGGAGAATTTCACAGACAGAGAAGAGATTTGAGATGGGCTCTACAGAAGGATGCTGAGAATATCACAGACTGAACATGTGAGCAATGAGGAGGTTTTGAGGAAATAGGAATTAAAAAGAAACAGCTACAAACAATCAGAGAGAGATAAAACTTCAAAATTATGGGATACTTAACCAGGTAGGATACTTGAGGAATGGAAGACAATAGAAGCAGGGAAAAAAAGGTAAGCAATCTGCTAGACAAGACTGAGTAAATGGATGGTAGAACAAGGATAACAAAAACAAAGAGGGGTGGGAACTTAGAGCAACAAAATACAGGAAGTTGTAGAGAGCCGTGCTCACCTGAAAGGATATGGTACTTAGATATATAGAAAGCATTTTAACTTCTATCAGCATGGCTGATGCTAACCTCAAGGAGAGTGATTCACTGCACCTTCCAGGATTAATGTTTTCCACTGACAAGTGAAAAGATTATATTCAATCAACTGCAAGGTCCAGTTCTAGGAAAATTTGGTTCCCTGTACTGTGCAGGACAGTTTTTCTCACAAGAATGTATCTTACATATTTAGAGGTTTATCATTCATCCTTTCATTGAATATTGCAGCCACATCTGGTCTGGTACTTCTGTTATATATTTAGAGATTCTTAATACAATACAAAAAATCTGCAATATCATTGGTCCTGACCTGGCATCTCACCTTCAATCACTTTCACACTAACATAACATAGCTTCTCTGTGCCTTTTCTATAAATACTTTCCTGATAATTGTTCTGCTGAACATTCCTCTATGGTACCAAGACTTTATAAATTTAAGCATTAAACTAGATTGGCAGCAAGGTCTCATTTTATAGCTGTAATGGCTAGGTGTAACTGTAAATTCTGTGCTAACAGTTTCTTCTATCACACTTTGAACTTGGCTTGTGAAACTCTCTTCCAGCTTCTGACTTCCCAGTCAACTTTGATCTTCAAAAATTAAATTGCAGTATCAATTGCTATCTTCTGTCTTCTTAATTCTTGTTCTTTTATTGTTCTCTCTCCTGAGTAGTGTTTTTTTCTCTCATATTCGCTAACATTTAGTAACCCCCCCCCTGCATCTTAGTGGCTTTATTGCCTTGCTTGGGGTGAAATAATTAAAAGTCTATATCCAGGTAAAATTTAAAAAATCATGTTCTCCATACTTAATCTATTTTCAGCCTTGTCAGCAGACGTTGTCAAGAACTTCCTTATGAACTGACCAATGACAAGTCTCAACGATATGTGAATATTTACAAACAACTGCTGGCAAATCCCCAAGATGTCTGTTTTTGACATCAAATTGTAATTCTAATAATAGAAATCTGTGGCTTTGTTTTGGTCAGGCTTCAGAACCTGTTTTCAAACAAGGGTGGTTTTAATAGAAGGTAATATCATATGTTTGGTGGAATTTTGAGGAGGTGTTACCCATTGAGTTTATCCCAGATGCTGTGAATGCTGACCTTTATGCTTAACAACTGCAGCAAGTATATGATGCTTTGAAATCCTGCTATCTGGCATTGGTCAATCAAAGACACACACTGCTAGAGCACAACAGTGCCCAAGGATACACTGCTAATGTGACCAAGTGCAAAATTGCAGAAATTGGGTGACTTCAAGTGCTGTCTAAACTTACCTGCAGTCCAGACTTTGCACCATCAGAACGATTAACAGTTTCCAAGCCATGGCTTCATTTCTTGCACAGACAGGGATTCAACAATGTTGACGAGGTTGAAAATAGGCGCAGGGAGTTTTTTGCCTATAAATCAGCCAAATGGTTTGATTGTTTTTCTGGCATAATATTGGCAACAGTCATTAGAATATAATGGGATATATTCTGATGAATAAATGCTTTCAATATGTAATTTGATTGAACTATCAATTAAAGCTTGAAATACAAAAAAAAACCTTTGACTTAGCTGAGCAGACAGTTTTTTTAATCAATTCATCCTAAGCAAGGTGATAATGCCACTAAGATGTAAGTCACTACTGGAAGTGAAAGAAAATAAAAAGATTTTAGAAGGAATTGTAAACGTAATCCTAAACAGAAAGCAAGTGATAAACCTGTTCAAATGACTGTGAAGGAGTTTGAATAGGATAGATATAAACAGAAATAGAGAATTAGGGTAAAAAGTCTTCGAGATACAATTAATAGAACTGCTGTTCTGTCTTTAAGATTTACAATTTAATAGAATTGAACTTAAAGAAGGAACTTTAATTTTGGTGACACAAGAAACATGATATTTGTCTGTGAGAGTGTTTGAAAGGGAGAGATTTTGGAAGATATTACCAAATCTGTAGACTCATAAGAAACTTTTTGATAGTTGTTCTGTTTAGTATATCTTGACTTTGAAATGTACAGTTTGCATTTACAGTAATCAGCTTCCTATAATTCTCGTGCATTGGGTGCAGTGTCATATTTGGATACATTTTTTAAACAATATAATGGATGGTTGCTCATGTAAGAGTACATCTGTCTGTTATGATGGTGAGCTAATCCCTTTTACAGATACCCGCTCAGGCACATTTGTTCAACACCTACATAGCCAAACTGTGATTTATATTGCAAAATTATTGAGCAGACCATAGATACAGTGTCTGGGAGAAATCACTCCAGTGTGATCAGTAATTGAACAAGGCCCATATGATTGAATACAAGGTCATGATGACTTTTGACTTTGTGCTAGCACAGATGTTGACATCTTCTGAATGGTTTTGTCTACCTAAATTCATTCAGAGGTTTTGGATCAATCTTCGCAATGGTACTGAATGCTGTGATTGTCACCTCAGGCTAATGTAATCAATGTAATCTTGGACAAATTGATCATGGTTATATGATTGAAATGCTTTTTTCTAAGTACCATTTCTATTTAAGATGTACCTAATCAAGACTCTCCACAGCTTCCTTTTCTTTCTTATCTGTGATTTGACATGCATTCTTTAGAAAAATAGTGAAATGGTTTTTAGTTGCTTTCACTATGGTTTTGAAATTTAGGTATTATTTCTCTTAGACTGGTTGTCTCTAAAGGCTAGAGAGTTCATTCTAGCTTGATTTTTAACCCATAGCTGGAGAAAATATTGCATTTACACCTTTCCCAAGAGTATCTGCATAAAAGTGAAGCAATTCAATTTGTCTCGCCTGCTTTATGCAAAGACTACACTACATGCAAGTCGCAACATTCTAACTACTTACCACCACTTTTTATACCTAGTTTTTTTTGTTTTTTTTAAATTGGATAACTACTTACCTTAATAATATGCTTATAAAGTTCTGGAAATTCCATATTTTCACCCTCGAAAATATAGATATAAGAATCCTCCCTGAGATTAATGTGGGTGAAGTTGACACAAAACTTTCTACCATTTCCTCCATCGGCCATGAACGTAAGAACACAATAAAGGTCCCCCAGGTCCTGATGGTGAACGCCAAAATTGACTGACATCCGGAATGTGCTGTTTGGAGGAACTAAAAAATAATCACCACACTGTCCAGCATATCGAATTGGATCTGAAAAATGTGGAGAAAAAAAAGAGAAAAAAACTGAAAAATATTCAGTGATTTCATTCAACATCTTTGTTTTTTTTTGGTTTGCTTTTTTTTTTCTTTGTTCCAACGTTACTCAACTGAAAGGAGACAGAATGCATGGTTGTCAGCAAAAGGAACAGCGCAACATGCAAATTACAAATTGGAGATGCCAAAATCAAAGAAGTGCAAAAATTTTCATATCTAGGAAGTGTTTTAACAAAAGAGGAAAAATGGGACACTGAAATCCAAAGAAGCATTGGGATAGCAAAGATGCCTTCCAAAAGTTAAGCAAAGAATTAAGAAATAGGAAAAATTCATTAGGAACAAAGAAATGAGTGCTGATCTGTTATTTAATGCTCCTATATGGCTGAGAATGCTGAACAATCTTATCACAAATGAAGAAGAGACTTGAAGCAACAGGAATGTGGTTCTACAGAAGGATGTTGAGAATACCATGGACTGAATACATAAGCAACGATAAAGTTTTAGAAAAAATGGAAATGAAAAGGATACTTATACATAGCACCAGAGAGTCGAAAATTTCTAGGGTACATGATGAGGAAAGTGGGCTTGAGAAATTTGACACTCAAAGGACAAATTGAAGACAAGAGAAACAGAGAAAAGCAGTGCATGAGCACCTAATGAGCTTATGTAAATGGTTGGCATGACAGGGATTAGGAGAGATAGCAGTCAAAATTTACTAAGGGCAACAAAAGGCAGAAAGGTACACAATACATGAAAGAGGATGTCAGCCTTACCTACTAATTCACAATGAATTTCAAATGAGGACCTTTATTTCAGAGAGTTTACCTTATAGGATCTTGTGATCCATGAGTTCAGTCCTTGGACCGATTCTTGATAAAATCTAAAGAAGAATCTGCAATGTTATTCATCTTGACCAGGCATGTCACCTTCAGTCCCTTTGCCACCACCATAACGGAGTTTCCCAGTGCCTTTTCTATAAATAATTTCATGGTAATTGTTCTGATGAATTTTCCACTGTGGTTTTATAAATTTAAGCGCAGTACTAGATTGGTGGCAAGGTCTCATCATTTTATAGTTGAAATAATTAGATGTAAACGTAATTTCTATGCTAAGAGTTTCTTCTCTCACACTTCTTGCTTGTGGAACTCTCTTCTGGTTTCTTCACAGTCAACTTTGATCTTCAAAAATTTAAATGCAATGTCAATCCTTATCTTCTGTCTTTATAATTCCTCTTCTTTTATTGTTCTCTCTCCTTAGTAGTGTTTTTTTTTGTTTCCTCATATTCTTTAACATTCGATAACCCTTGCATCTTAGTGGCTTTATTGCCTTGCTTGCGGTGAAATGATTTTTAAAACATTCAAAAGAGTGGAAAAGGTAACAAGAAACTACTTTAATATCCTATCCAGGAACAGACATAGATGCACTATTTATAGGTATTAAAATAGAAAAAGGAAGTTGTAGATAACCATGACCGGCTGAAGGAATCTGACAATATAGTTTTTTTTACCTATGATAGTGGCTCAGCGTATGTGACACGAAAATGATAAAGGCGGAAAATTTGTAAAAACAACAAATAGACATAACAAACCTAAGAGAAATACGAGATTTCCTAGATTTCACACTCAACCTAAGAAAAGATACATATCAGCCGTACAGAAAACCTAAAAGGCAAACCACTTTACTTGCACACAATATATGGCAATATAATATACCAAACCAGTTTAGAAACAGCACAAAACGAAGAAACAATATACATCGGAGTAACTGAAGGACTCTGGAAACATAGAAACTACACACACAAAACATCCTTTACCAAAAGTAAATACATAAACAACACAAGTCTTTCTGAACATATAAGTTTAAAAACAAAATACACAAAAAATATCATGGTAAATAGTGAAAACAGCATGAGCCTACAATAATAAATCCAAAAACTGTAAATTTTGCCTGGAGGAGAAAATAGCTATAATCACTTTCCCAGACGAAACAAATTACTAAATAAACGATCATAACTTATTTAAAATGCTATATATATATATATATATATATATATATATATATATATATATATATATATATATCTTAATATGCAATTATGCTGTATTAATGTTAATATAAAGTCAACGTCGGACGTTTCGGTCTATTTTAGACCATCATCAGGACATATTTATAAAACATAATTAACATTAGAACATATAAAATTCAACATGAAAAAGACGATGAACTAATCCAAACAGATAACTGAAAATTTTTTATATAAGATCAGCGTTCCGTTTAAAATATGATCACGTCGTCGTCACGTGGGCGATGTTGTGAAAACGTATTCGAAGATGATTTCAAAATATTAAAATATTAAACAAACTCGATTGAACTATTTTCTCATATAAACAGTTCGTCAAGAAATCCTTTCCGTGCTACTAGATTGACAACTTGGTCTCATCGTTTTACTAGTTAGACACAACCGTCAGTTTTATTATAATAGCATCTTTTCTCGCACTTGTCGCCCGTGGAAGTTCCTTCCGATTTCTTGCTCTCTGTTCCTTTTTGTCCTTTTCCTCACTTTTCACTAAAGTCTTCTCATTTTCTTTCACTTCTGTAACACCTGCGGATTAGTGGCATTATTGCTTTGCTTGGGGCTAAATGATTAATACACACACACACACACACACACACACACACACACACACACACACACACACACACACATATATATATATATATATATATATATATATATATATATATATAAGTTTAAAAAGTTACACCAAAATTCGCTTGATGATGAAATGGAACTAATGTCTTTAATTTAATCACAAAATTAAATTCGGGGCTTTTAGCTTCCATTTTTGAAACATGGTTAGAACTGTGTAGCGAGAAAAATCATATTTTAAATCAATTAATTTATAATATTAATGCTTTGTAAATTTACATTGAGCACTATTTTGTAAAAATAAAAATATCTAAAAGAATACCGGATTATATATCTTGCTGTTCTTTCTTTATATATATATATATATATATATATATATATATATATATATATATATATATATATATATATATGGTATGGATTCTCGCGTCGTGAGCCAACACATGAGTATTCTGTCGACACATTACCGATGAGTCCTTTCGTGAGAGTAGAGTCCAATTCTAGAGCCGCAATTCCTATTGCAGATGCTGCATTCATAAAGTGGGTTCTGAGTGCTACTGTTGATCTTCCTCTTGGCACGTTTCTCAATGGTATGCCTGTTCTCAAAGACAGCGATGCCCTCTTTTCAAGTTCTCCTCCAGGTTGCACGGGCTTGAGTAGTACTTTCCAAGCTATCAAGGCCGATGCCATATCTCTCGAGATTCTACTTAATAGTTTCCTTATACCTCAGTTTCAGTCATCCTAGTGGTCTGTTGCCGTGCTCTAATTCACTGAAGAAGATTGGGAATTCTTGAGTCTTCCATTCGATATACGTGCCCCACCCAACGAAGCTGTGCCTTGATCATCTGGCTTTCTATGCTGGGTACAATACATCGTTCTAGGATCTCGACATTGGAGACTTTATCCTGCCATTTAATTCTGTAGATGGATCGCAGGCAGCGTTGCTGGAACTGCTCGAGAAGCTTAATATGGCAACGATACACTGTCCATATTTCGCAACCATACGAAAGAGTGTCAAGAACCCCAGCCCTGTATACATTGATTTTGGTTCTCAGTCTCACAATATGTTCATCCCATAGCCTACGTCTAAGCATTCCAAACAAATTGGTTGCTTTCGCAATCCGTTGTGTGACCTCGTTATCTATAGTCATATATATATAACTTTTTAAAATGCTATATCACTTCAGGACGTGGGCGATCACGACTCTCAGTAGTGTATTCTTCAATATTTATTATCTGGAAACTGACATGCCTTTTAGTTAAAAGAGTGGTTTCTTTGATATTTAAACCCATTTGGGGGAGGGGGAGAGGAGAGATATTCACACCTTTCTTAAGAGCATTAGTGCGAAAGTGAACGCAACAGACTAGCCCAGAATTTGAACTCGGCGAGCCGATTCCACTTTCGACGCCGATATCCATTACATAACCCGCACATTTATCTACATGAAGACAAATAAAAGAAATCTTATACTTCACAACTTACAATATTGCATGAAGGGAGTTTTTATACTTTTCGATTCCTCTGAAGATAAATAATCCTCTTGTGTGTAAGCCGGTTCTGTGATTTCTCGACCTGAAACAGACATAGTAAATTTATTTTGCAAATTTCTTTCAAATTTATTTCGAAAATTTCCTTTAAACGCTGGCATGAGTATAGTTAATTGGAGTTGAAACCTGCAAAAATGTTTGCATTCGATGCTGAGAACAAACAGTATTCCTTTAGCGTTTGTAAGCTCTATAATTTCTGCTTGAATTTCTGGGTAGCCTTCAGGTCAGTCCTGCCATTGATTTACCAAAAATGAGCATACCATGATGAAAAAATGCGCCAAACTTAATAAAATCAAAGTTTTATCGTTAAAATCTTCATAAGAGGAAAGTCGAAAAGTTTGTTTTTTTTATTATTAGATTATATTTTTGATCCTTTGCAAAAATCAAATAATTGCCGGATTTTAATGAAACTTTCAGGACTTATTCACAAATCTTAATAAATTTCGAAAATATTGATAAATTTCTACTTATTTAATCTTATAAAATTTTGAGAAATTACCACTTATAGTTAAAATATAATGTTTATATTAGTTAAAATCGAACTACTAGGATAATTTAAATCCTCAATTTCTTTTTATAAAATAGGAGCACCCGTTATAATAAAATCAGCTCTAAATCTTAAAATAAAATGCCATAAAACTATTTCATTATTTAATCCGAAAAGCTTTTAATTGCATATATGAATAAGATATATTATGGACATAATTGTCTTAAGAGATTTTTTTTTCGATGAATAATGAATTTTTACATGAATTGTTTTCATTTTTGTAAATTTTAATTCTGATAATTTATAAAGTTTTAAAAAATTCTATCTTACTTTGTAGAGATTAGGTGATATTGATATTAAGTAAAAACTATATTTACTAATCATAAATGGAAACGCTTAGTACAATTCATCGAACACCAATATTTGAAAAGAGAATTTTGAAATTCTTAAGTATAAACGTGCCGATCTTTGTAAATACGGACGCTTATACACATTATCAGAAAATAAGAACAATAACTATAGTAAATTTAAAGTCAAAGTACCTACAATTCAACAAAACATTAGATTACGGAGAATATTTTCCTAAATTTTTAAGATTACCGGGTAGTTAAAAATTATATAAAAAAGCAATCATGTTATATTCCTCAAATAAATTTTACAGATATATTCACCGTAGAAATAGCATTAGATAAACCTCCGTCTGCCATTCAAATTGTCAGCCTGTCAACACCTAAATAAGCAGTTACCGCCATATTAAGAAAAATGCATTTCTATGATATTTTAAACTTAAAGTGAGTAATATTTGTTTCAAATTCGATTAATCAAACTTTAAATCAGCTAATATTTCTCAATTAAAATTTCGGAAAGGTATATTTTATTTTGGGGAGAATTTTAATAAAGAGAATTACAGTGCTATGAAATATGGCTAAAAGAAAAATGCTAAACAAAACTCCTTCCAGTAAATTTAAAATAGTTTTGAAATGCAGTAAAATATTTTGATTCTTGGAAATATTAAATTTAATCTATTATCTTGAAATTAAAACTAAAATAAAAGCTTCAAGAAAAATATTTCATTTTTAAAAATTAACTTTAAACCTCAGGTATCGCGTTTCTTTGGAAGGTACCTTCAGGGGATTTCGAACTGAATTCTTTATTTAATCTAAGGAGGTATATTTTTCTCGTTCCGCTGTTCATATCTTGGGACATTTCGTCTTGTACATTTCTAGTACTGTTCAGTTATTGTTCGTCCTACTTCCAAAGAATCTAAGTCTATACAACACGGTCCAGGGATTAAACTCACAATTACGCGATGTCACCAAATACATGATTTTTTTTTTTTTTTTTGTGCTGAGCGAGAAAAGAAAGACGTGTACTTAAATACTTGAAACGAACTAAAATCGAAATGACTAAAGCAACCTGAAATGAATTCATGATAAAATCCCAGCGGACAGAAAACAATTCTCTTCATCCCAAAAGTGGACAAAGTCCTAGTTTCCTAAATAAAAATCTCACATCCAAAAAAAAACAAACAAATTTAACGTTGAAAATTAAAGGATTTTTAATGAAAATTTCATAGGCTGAAATTTTCTATGTCAAATCAAGATAACAATAATGAGTTGAATATTCGATAACTCTTCAACAACTGCATTGTTTCTTTCTCGGTATGAGTTGTTCGTTGAAAATTTCATAGGCTGACTATGAAGGTGTGACGCTAGAGCTGTGAAAGCTTGCATGCATTAATAACTCTTCTTATTAACAACTGCATTGTTTCTTTCTCGGTATGAGTTTCTGAAATTTCATATGACTTTTCGTTAGAGCTGTGAATGCATTAATAATTTCATAGGCTGACTATGAAGGTGTGACGCTAGAGCTGTGAAAGCTTGCATGCATTAATAACTCTTCTTATTAACAACTGCATTGTTTCTTTCTCGGTATGAGTTGTTCGTTGAAAATTTCATAGGCTGACTATGAAGGTGTGACGCTAGAGCTGTAAAATCTTGCACGCATTAATATCAACTTTTCTTATCTTGATAAAGCTGGGGCGTCATCCTCTAATATAGCAACCATGTCAGATTGAATATCTTTGGGGGTCTAAACACTTTTTCTGCAGGTAGTTGATAACACCACGATGCCGAATTTTATCCATTTTGATGAGAAGTTACTAGTTACATCTGAAGTCTTCTTCGAAGAGTCAGTTGACAATGTAGCTATTAATAAGAAGAGTTGAAATAAATGCATGCAAGATTTCACATCTCTGGCATCACACTTTCATAGTCGGCCAATGAACATTTCAGCCCCCACCCTGGGATACACTGAGATGTACGAAAAAGATAGATTTCTTTGTTTCTTTTTATATATGAGACTTTTTATTTGAGACTGGGATTTTGTCCAATTTTGGGATAGGAGGTTGGGATTTTGTTAGCTGGGTTTTTCTTGTATAGCAAGACTGACTACCCTTCTCTACACTTATTACTGAAACATGGATTCATCCATCCACTATAAGTAGAACGTCTACTCATGGAACTGTCACAAAAAGTGGGTCGCAAAGGCGTAGCGCTTTTCAGTCGTAGGTATGTCGCACTGAACTACTGTATTCTCAATCGATGTTCTCGTGTGATTAAACCCTTCTTCATTCAACCTTTTGCTCCAGTGTTTTCAATACAGTTTTACTAACCAGAAACTATGAGCGCTATACGAACTTTATATCTCTCAAATCTATTTCGCAAATTACTTTTAACCCTGGCATAAATATAACTAATTTTAGTTGAAAGCTGCAAACAAGACCTTTGACCTTTTGCGTCCTCTAACAACAGAAAACAACCAGTATCTTTATTTAATAAGGTCTATAATTTCTGTATGAATTTCTGGAATGTGGATTTATCATTATTTATATTATTTACATTCAGACAAATGTCCTCGTCTTTGCTGCTTTTTTGTTATCAGCAGCAACGTTTCAATTGTTTCACCCTTCTGATTTCGTCGGGCTTCTGGTGTGTGTCGATGTGAGTAACCTTCAGTTTAGCCCAGTGTTTCTCAACTATTCTTACTTCAGGGCGCACTTGTAGAATAACTAAAACTCTGAGGTGCACTTTAAGTTTTAATAAGGAAAAATTAGTCATGAAATTTAGAAGTATGAAAATTTGGATTAGCATTCCCAAAGAAGATTAACGGTACAGTTTTCATTTAAAGGGATTTATGAAGAATCTGTTATCGATTTTTAGAGAGGCCGATAATGATTGATTTAGGTCGCTTGAGAAAAGTAAAAGGGTAAGGATTATCTGCTCTTTAACATTCAAGGAATTTAGCATTCACTTTAAAATATCAAATGGTAAAGATTTGACTTAGACATGGAAGCCATGTGCTTGGTGTCTTTAGCTTTTTAAAAATAAAGATTTTTTTTTAATATAAAAGTAATTCATAAGTTACTCTTCTGTTAACTTGGAGCACATCTGACTACATTTCAGTTGAGAAACGAGGGCATGGTTAGCAAGCGTGTCTCGCTAAAACAATTACGACTGAGTAGTGAGTTCGATCCTCACTGGGTGCCCCCTACTTTCGGCGTTGTGCCACATCTAAGCTACGCTTAGAAAATCACTTCAGTTGAGAAACGCTGGCCAAGAAAATAATCGAGAGGCTTCAAGCTTTGGTTCGCGAATTTTGTTCAATCTATGGATCGAGTAGTACAATCTCAGTTGAATCATAGACAATATGGCATTTCGCATTTTTAGGTCAATCGTCGATGTGTTAACGCTTATTACAAGAAACATAACTCAAATGCTTAAGCAGACCAACTGCAATGATATAGCATATATTTCTAAGTCATTTGGAGGAAAATACTATGGATTAACCCATTATTGAAAGAAAAAAAACTATGGAACTCGGTATTTAACAAACCCCCACGAGGAATGTATGTGGCACAAAGCCGAGTTTAACGTGGGTTTATCCGAGCCCGTAGGCTCGGCCAAAAATATACCCGTTGAACCCGCCTAGACGGGTTCAGGGCCTGTCTACCTCCCCGGACGAAACCTTGCCCTTCGGCAAAGCTTCGTCCGGGTTCCTCTCTGGCAAAGCGGAGAGTTCGACAGACGTCGAGACTGTATCTCGACGTAACTCAAAAACTATGGAACTCTTCGACAAATAAAGAGAATTAACAATTGCCCCTTACATTCTTAATTCTTTCAGGCATGTATTTTACTAATTCAAAGCAATATTCTGTATCAAAATGGCTCCAACTTTCTCGAATGTTTTTTAATAGTTTTTCTTTGGTAAATTAAATTTTTACAGACCATTTACTTTTAAAGTTCTGTCATAAATTTCCAATTGGATTTCGATCCAGATTTTTCGCTGGCCATCTCATAAAGAAAAGCTTTAACGCCCTAAGCTCTGTGACAAGATGTATTATCATCCTGAAAAAATGACTTCATCATCAGTAAACAAATTTTTTATCGATGGAATGAGTAAAATTATCCATGATTTCAATGTACATATGTGCATTGATTGTTGAGGCAATGTTTGCCATTTCCCCTGGTCATTTAACCGAAATACAACCTCACATCATGAATGGTTTGGGAAAATTACTTGTTTTCTTCAGGCAGACATTTTTATATATTTCATTTGAACGGCACCAGACAAACGTTCCAGCACCATCGCTTTGATCCTTATCCACTTAGAACAGCACTTTCTTCCAAGATTCCACGCGTTACCATTCTCTTTAGCTTACTTTAACCTCATTTTCTTCTGTTTTCGCCTTAAAATCGGTTTTCATTTCGCTTTTCTGTATGTAAATCCCGTTTCTCTCAGCCAATTTCTTACATTTCTCTCACAAACACTGACTCCTGTTTCGAGTTCATTGTTTTTTTTTTTTTATTTGATTCGTTGTACATTTTTTTAGAGTAAGGTTCACCCTGTACAAGGCCCGGGAGTCACTCGAGATAGAGGTGTAGTTTATATGGATATGAGGGGGGAAGATAACGGTTGACTCTAGATTTGAACAGGTTAAGTTTGTAGTGATCGGGGAAACAACCTCTGTTGAGTCTGTTCCACACGGCATTGGTTCGCGGGAAGAATCTGTTTTAGTGAGACTTACTTCTTGCCGACGGAACACGGAGGGTATTTAGGTAGTATGCTACTATGTAAGTGGCATGGCGGGTCCTGGACGTGAAGATCAGACCTGGTGGTGTTATATACCCGACTCTCTTCTGGGGGCGGGGGTCTCTTGGGCGATGGGGTCGATTCCATAACGAAGCTGCATACTTCTCTCTCGGTCGTTTTCTCCCGAACGTGTATCGAAATGTTTTTGGTTTGGAGATAAAAAAAAAATCAGCAAAAGGAATTTTGTAAACTCATCTATTTTATTAAACACATCGACCAATTCGAGAAGTACTAAGTATGGGAAGCCATTGGTATACTTAATACTTCTCGAATTCACTCTCGCGTGGTCATGTGTGACGTCATGAGCTGCGGTGCGATTTTCGCTTCTAGCGTCTTATATGCACGTGTTTATTGTTGCTTGGAAATCATCCATGTAAACAGAAACAGACTATCATCACATTCTTGTCCGTGTATTGCATAATATATTGTACTGTAATTATCATCTTTGATAATGGCTTATGCAAGCCGAAAGCTTAGATAGGATATAATCAAAATATGTATCAATATTGTGATTTTCTTTCTTCGTTTAATGATAATGTTATTAAGCTTATCAGACATTACGAAAAGAATTTACATAAAATAAATAGACAACACTTGTCTATATTATTTAATGAAAATTATATATATATATATATATATATATATATATATATATATAACCATCCTGTTTGATTTATACTCGCACCAAATTTTAGAAACTACTGACTGGAAACAACTAACGTCTTCCGTTACATTCCACTTATTTTTATTGTTTTTTATTTAATTTTTTTTTTTATTTTTACGATCCTCTCCGTTGTTGCAATTCCCCAGTTCTTTTGTTGGAGCCATGTTTCCTTTCAATTAAGTAGGCTAAACGAATTCTTGCAAACGGCAACACGTTCACAAGAACTAACTTTTAACTGGAGACCAATTTGCATATCTAGCTTTCTGTTGGTATTTGTTTTAGGAATGCAAATTACAAGATCATTCCATAATTCCTCCCGCAAATTGGGCTATTCTATAATATTTTCCTCGAGATGGCTTGGAAATTAATTTAATCTAGTTTGTTTAAGGTATATTTTATGATACCTGGCTGTTCAACTATTAAATAAAAATGTTTTGTGTCTTATTTGTTGCTAGTTTATTTACTGCTAAATGTCCACTTACTGAGGGCTAATTTCATTATTTTTCTCAGGGGCTGTACACATATTGTGAAAGTTGACATTTCAATTCGTCATTCTATACGATTCTGAGGTGAATTGTGAATTCTAACTGTTATTGTTTTTTAAAGGGTGCCTCACAAAAAAAACAAGGAAATTTCGTACAGTTTACTTAATTGTTGGAATTTTTGTTATACTTATTTGAAACATAAGCAAAGGATAGTAATTTAGTGGCTTAAAACAACAAAATCACAAATGTTAGATGTAGTATTCAAGCTAAAGAACTCTTGCAAAATGTTTTTGGGATTTTTTCAGTTCCCAAGTTGGATATTATTTCCTAAAGAGAACAATCACCTCGCGTTGACAATTTGATAACTACACCATCCTGGAACAACAAATGGTTAAAAAAACTTATATGTTAGTTAATGTTTTTAGTTCATTCATATAGTAAATTATATAGTTATTTTTTTTTATATTTCCGGTGTTTTGTAGGGCACCCTGTTGCTAAAAGAGAAAATAGATTCATTTTCATCATTTGATTCTCTTTTATTTCCATGAAAGAAAGAAAACACTATACAAACTGGTGTTTATGTGTATCATACTATAGGAAATAAACCTTATTTCCAACACAATTACATACCCACATACATACCATATTAAAACACGCCCAAATTTTATTTTCTACCTAATAACAGACAATAATTACAAACATGCCAAAAGGATTCTAGGATACAAGACACACCGTTTAAATCGAATTAATAGCAGCATGTGAAATATTTTCAGGAAAATTTCTTGTAAAAATCCACAATTTCAACTTTCAGCAGCAGATATGCGACTGTCTCCAAGTCGTTCAAATGAAAGAGAAGACGTAGCCACACGGCTTTTACCTCATTCATTCTCCCTCCTACTGCGTGCTGAAAGAAACCCGTGCCAGCAAATTCAAACGATTCATCTCCAACAACAACAACAACATGGAAGGTCAGTGAATCTTCGCTGACGATCAAAGACTTTTCTCAATCCCGGCTTTTTGGTGTGGACTAACTACGTAAAATTAATTTCTAAAGCAGATTTTTTTTTTAATTCAACTAAAGACTATTTTTTACTCTTTTTTGACTCTTCTGAATTCATGAACTCGTCGTCGGTAAAAAAAAAAAGTCACAGGAAAAAAGTTAAATTAATTACATTGCGGTCAATAATAAAGTCACCTATTTTTTTCAGGTACTTGACGAATTTATGAGGTCCGCTCTGTTTGCAACAGAAATTCATAGTAAATCGATCCACCCTCTAAAAGAACGTTTTATAACAATGCTACGGCAAAATATTTGATATTTTTCATGCTTATGAGGTCCTAGTACCGCATAAAACTGACTTTATATGAAGAAAGACTTAAGAAGTGTGTTTTTTTTTTTTGTTTTTTTTTTTTTTGTTTTTTTAAATTTTGCGCTAAAACGCAAACAAACCACGGAGATTATATACGAAGATAGATTAATCCATGAAAACAAGTTTTCTGTAAATCACGTTTTTCTGACAAATCTACTGTCACATATTCGATATATATATATATATATATATATATATATATATATATATATATATATATATATATATATATACACACACTTAGGGAGTCCTAATATGCCACAAGACTAGACTTTATGTGAAGAAAGTCTCAATTTGAGATTAAAATTTGAATTAAAAGTTCCTTGAATTTTCAATTTATTTATCAGACTGGAATTTTTTCCACTTTTAGGATAAGAAACTAGGATTTTCCCATCTTTCTTTTTTTCCTGTGACTTTTTTATAGCGACTTTTTTTTACCTGTGACTTTTTTACTTGAATTCGATAGAAATAGTCACAGCTTGCCTGGGATGTCCTACTACACTCGCTGTACTCACCTGACTTGCACCTTCGGATTACCACTTATTTTGATCCATACAAAATTTGTCTTCAATTCTATGGAGGCCTGAAAATCCATTTAGACTGATTCACCACCCAGAAAATTATCATGTCCTGGGAAGATGGAATCAAGAAGCTACGTCAAAGATGGTAAAATGTAGTGGAACAAAATGGCACAATAATTGATTGAATAAATCTATGCACATTTATTATGTTTTTGGTCACTCATTACAAGGCCCAAGAACCACTCAAGATAGTGTCTTACTGAAAGAGGTTATTGCAAAAGCGTACAAGGAAGAAGTCCATATTATGAGGATATTTAGGATAGATAACAGTTGATCTTAGACTTGAAGAGGTTAAGTTCACAGTGATCGGAGAAGCATACTTGTAGAGAGTCTGTTCCACAAAGTAACAGTTCTGGGGAAGAAAGCTGTTTGGGTGGAACTTCCTTCCTATCACTATATCTAAATACTGATTTTTGAATTTCGCTTAAAAACGTAACAGACGTTTGGTCCGACCTAGAGTTTTCGATGGTGAAATTCAATACTTGACAGCATACTTTTTCTAAGCGGAATTCTCTCTGATTTGGTTGGGTACTGGGCTAAACTTCTTAAATATTTACAAGAATTGAATACGGCCCGACAGTATAGCAGAAGTAAAGAAAACGAAAAAATAATAAAAATACCTTTGCGAGTCAGAAGATGATTTAAATTGAAGCCTGTCACGTGATTCAACAGGATGGCTTGAATGCAGAAAACAGCAAGGTTGGATATTGGACAGGAAACACCCATGACGGAACGATAGTCTGCAAAGAGAAATATAAAAAAAAAAAAAACAATCTAATAAATAGGGTTTATTATTTTTGTTGTCAATTCTCAAAAACAAAGAAAATGTATAAATTCATTTTTATTTGCTAAGGTTTTATTTGAATTGTCATCATTTCCTTTTAAAACAATAAACATTGCCGAATAGTGAAAATAGCTAAACTAAAAGCGGTGTCATGGGAAAAACCGTCCTTTTGACATTCCATATATTTTTAGTGGACACGCAAGTCCATATTTGCCAATAACTTAAATTTAGCTGTACTCTTACTTCTCGTAATCCATAATAGGCAGAAGTCTAGTAATGAATGATTTTTACCGCATATGCGTACAATTTAGAAAACTATCTTTTCTAATAGAGTGGAAATGCTCAGAATAGAAAAGAAAAAGAAATGAAATTTTTTACATAAAGCAATGATGCACCTAAAATAGTCTTCTTTTATGTCATGTTCCTTCAGGTCATGCGCGATGATGGCTCTCCGCGATTTCCTATTCTTTAACAATATCTGTCTTTTTGCTTTTCCTTTCTCCTCATGTTCTGTCATTCATTTGCACAAGCTCATCAGCTACGTTACTCATTTGTTTCTCTCGTATGTACGGCTAGTGTAATGGATAACTGCTCAGAATGAGAAATCAGAGGGCTGAGTTCGAATTACAAGCATGGTCGGTTATATTCATGCTGAATACCCTTGCGGAACATAAATCCCTCCCACAATTGTGTGTTAAGTAATAAGACTTGTATAAGGAAAAATCAATGTTATTCTAAAAAAGAAAAATTGTTAATGCAAAAAAAGAAAAAAGAAGAATCATTCTTACATTCAAAAATATTTTCTGTCCGAATTTCTGGGAGAAGTTATCAATAGTCCGAATATAAATAGTGTAAATAATAAAAATAAGTAAAGGGTTGATAAACCGTAAAAATAAATTTATTACTCTGTCCCTTTTGCATTTTATATGTACTGCGAATGTTGAATTTCCCAAGCCCTCTTACCTCATTCTGTGTAATAAAAATTTAAACTCTTTTTATGATGCTATGCAAAATGTACTTTTCGTTCTCACTTTCCTTAAAATGTTCTCGTTGCTCACATGTTTCCTTATGAGCATTTTAAGAATTCTTCTGTAGAACCACATCTCTGTTTCTCTTCATCTGTGAGGAAATTACCAAACATTCATTGCCATAGAGTAGGATTGATATTACATAGCAATTTAACACTTATCTTTGATTTTGTAAAGCAAATTTTAATTCTAAATAAAAACAAAATATTCTTTCGACCTAAACAAAAGTGTCGTTATTTCACAGGTATCTTTATTTCGTACAACAATTAGTAATCTCTTGCATTTTTTCCTCTTTCAATGTTGATATGATTTACTTTTCAACGTTTGAATAAACATACAGCTATCGGATCTTTATTACCGACGTGAGCGTGAACAACGAACCGTGGCTATTATTATTATTATTATCATTATTAGCACGCCGTAAATTAAGAAGGAAAGTTATTTGTTTTTCAAGTTAATGCATTTTATCATTATTGCTCTGATGTAAATCTCGCTATGGTGTGCTGTTCTTGCACAAACAGAATGACGGCAAAATATATCGTCTACCAGAGTACAAAAAAAAAAACTGCATTTCAGGGAACGTAAATTTTCTTCTTCTTCTTCTATGTGCCGTGTCTCTTAGGGCGTGGGCGATGATAGATCTCCACAACTTTCTACCGCTTGTAACTCTTAGTAAGGTGTGTCTTTTCAACATCTGCCCCAGTCTCTGCTCCGCCATCGATTTACACAAGCTCTCCTCTGTTCCTCTTAACTTCAATGTGCCCTCTGTTCTGTCCAAAAAATTTATTTTGTGCTTTACTGATTCTAAGTATAAGTGGCCATTTTGTTTTCATTTTCCTTAAAACTTCTTCATTACTCACATGTTCAGTCCATGGGATTCTCAGTATCCTTTTGTAGAAACACATTTCTGTTGTCTGTCTTCTCTTCATCTGTGAGAAGATTGACCAACAATCACTGTTTTGGAGGAGGACTGATATAACATTACAGTATCGTTTTCGTTAGAATTTTTGTTTTTTTTATTCTTTGAAAATGACTTGGTTTCGTTATAATTTTTATTTGTTATTAATTTACATTTTTTTTCTCGAGCCCACTTAAATATTAGGAAGAGTAGAAAAAAAACGTAACGAATATTGAGGTTCAACTCGTAGGACTGCGAAGCGACAGTTACAAAAAGAAAAACAACAAAAATTAGAATAACTGGTTGGGAAAGGAAGCTAAGGCTGCTACGACCTAAAGATAATCCATAAAGAAAAGCTAATGCGCCCATCTATTGCTGACCGAGAAACCCGCTTTGTTTGCAAGGATCGTCTCAAAACAAAATGGCGATCTTCAAACAATATGTGGACATTATACCTTGGGGCGGTTTTGTTGAGTAATTGTTTCGAAATCAGGGACTACGCAAGAAAGAGACTGATATGTTTCAGCATTTTTTCTGAATAAAACAAAAGAGAAAATACCGATGGTTGGATGTGAGACGCTTTTTCTTTTACGGGATTATTTTATATTAGTGTTAATATGATAAACATTTTTTATTAGTGTTAATATGATAAACATTATTTTGCATTAGTGTTAATAAGATAAAGATTCTGTATTAGTGTTAATATGATAAACATTATTTTGTATTAGTGTTAATATGATAAACATTTTAGCCGAGATATAAAACTAAGCGGATGCGCAGGTACTTTAACAGTTATCGACGCTGAAATTTTAAATTCCTGTGGATTGTTTGGTTTAATTTCACACAAATACCCTTAAGAAAGGCATGAATCCATCTTCCCTTATCTATGCGTTAAATACAAGAACAGACTGAATTCCCTTGACTTGGAGAAGGAAAAATTTGAAATCATAACCAGTCTGAAGAGGGATAGGTTCTGCTGAGCTATCTTGCCCTAGAGAAACATTGTTGCTACGGATGTAGTACATGTGATGCCTCAACTAGAGTAATGGATTACTGAAATGATGACATGACAGGAAAGCTAACCTATTCTTCAAATAAGCGATCATCAATGTTTGGTTACTGATACACCAGATAATTCAGTGCACCCAGTTGTGTTACAATAGGTTAGTTGAATTTACATTTCAGTCCTCAGGTTATTTGATGCCGAATTTTGTATGGGCAAACAGTGGGGACGAACTCACTAGTGGTGGTCAGCCAGACTGTCCTCACGTTAGAATAAACTAGAATTCAGATACCAAAGCCCATTTCAAGAAGACTACTATTACTCTATTCCCCTCTTAGACTATCTGTGATCTCCTTTCAGGAAGACTACAAGAAATCCTAATCTAGAACTCCAACTGAAATGAAAGAAGTGACGGCACCTACCTTGAATCCATCATAAAAACTCAGCGTGTGGAATTAGTAAATACCAAACACTTTAAATACCTCGGCGTATGGATTATAACAAATTTAGTATAGGAAAAAAAGAAGAAATAGAATATAGAATATGATGCGCCAGAGATAGTTTCCCACAACACTGGAAATCGCTACGAAACCAAAACCTTAACCTGAAAGCTCGAATCATGCTTGTAAATACTTTCGCCAGATCGAGACTTTAAGATGGATGTCATCGATGGCGCCTAACCTATTGAAAAAATATCTAAACTGTCAGTTGTATACGGGATGTTTCAAAAAATTTGATATCATTTCGCAATCTAATAACTTTGTTAGATCTCCTTCAAATGACTTCAAATTTTAATAGCATCTTTATGTTTAATGTTTGTTTTATGTTTTTATGTCTTTATGTTTTTGTGTTTTTCTTATTTGTATTTTTATGTTCTTTAATCTTTAATCTTTTTCTTTACAGGTATAAAAATGCTATTTACTAGAAGAGAAAAAGGCGTTTTTGTGTTGAGTTTGCTAGAACACAGTCAAACAAGACTGTGCAGCGTGCATTTATGAGAGAGTTCTCTAGAAAGTCACCAACAGGAATGCAGATTTGGAGATGGCATAAAAAGTTCAATGAGGAAGGCTGTCTGTGCAGAGCAAAAGGATCCGGACGACCACAAACTTCACATTTGTGAAATCGTTCACATAATCCACATGCTTTTGAATTTCTCATTCAGATTTGGAAGAATAAATCTTATGATCTTCAACATTAATACTTTTTAATTTTATTTGCCTTAATCATGTACTTTCTGTGATATTTTAATCTCAAAGGATATCAAATTTTTTTGAAACACCCTGTACAACCACTTTTTAAGATCAATGATGGAAAAGGGCTTTGAGTGAGTGAAACCTGGGGTATATTGCAAAGACCATCCTTTTTTCGACATTGTAAACTGGCACTACAGAATCACAAAAATATTATGAAATAACAGAAACTATATCACTTCAGGATTATCAATAGCAGCAACAACTAAAATGGATAGCACATGTTACTCGAAAGGAAAATAATGATATTATCAAGATGTTAACATTCCGCACTATATCAAATAAAACATTAGAAAGAAAACCCCGTCAGTACTGGAAAGAGCAATAACAGTTACTGGATATGAAAAACTTATTTTCCAGAAAAATTGTTTTGAGAGTAAGATTTTATAAATTTCAACCGACAGCAGAACTGGTTGTTTGGTCAGTTAATACCAAATGTTTCCTTGTAGGGAAACGGCTAGTATTACGGCTATCATTATCTTTAACACCTCATCTTCAACTGTATGGACTGTGATTGACCTTTTCCCGGTGGTAATTTTCTCTGTGTGTTTTAGACTTAGTTCCAGAGAATAAACGAAGTGCTTCGTGAGTGTATATATTTGGCCAGTGACCTGATTTTTTTTGGTGGGGGGGGGGCGGGGGGTTGCTTTAATACTTAAATAGCAGTCACGCACTATCATTTAACGCGATACCTCGCTAACCATCTTCCCACGCTGAAGCACCCACACCGAGTTTGCTGAGGAGGATTATATATATATTTTTTTATTCGTTTTGTCTCTTCTACAGATATACTCCATCTGAGAATATATCTACATATGTGTGTAGGACAAATGACCACGACATAATAATAAAAAAAAATTCCGTATTAAAAAACGAAACAATAGTCTCTTATCAAAGTTAACAAAATTATATTTAGTCACCTGATTTTTAGTCATCCGACACAATTAGTCAGAAACAAACAAAAAAAAAATTCAATGACAACATTGATTCAAAATTCTGACCATTTACTTCAGTGCACTTAACAACTAGTTTTTTTTGTTTTTGAGGTAAATGTGCTGGTTTCGGAAGCTGTGGGAGTGAGTTTGATTTTCACCAAATGATCTCAAGACGTCAGCAAGAGAAAAATCCCAAGATGACAACTACGAATTGGATTGGATTTCTTTTTTTACGGCTTATCAACCCATTGAAGATTATTTAAAGCCAGAGAATATTTGTTAGATTGTAAGAATTTTTCGTAGATAATAATGAGTAGCAGATACAACTCCTACTAATTAACCCATAGGAGGGAGAAGAGGTTGATTCATACCTTTCCCAAGGGTATTTGCGCGGAAGTGAAGATAATGAACCCGACTGAAATTGGAACTCAGCTCGTCACTTTTCAATTTCGAGCCGTTATCTATTACATCAGACGCACATCCAAACTTATAGAATTTGGTATTTCCAAACGGTCACCCATCTAGGTACTGACCAGGCGAGACGTTGATTAACCGGTGATCGTACGAGAACTGGGGTTTAAACATGATACGACCGTAAGTCTATGAAATGGAGACATCAACTTCAAACAAGTACAGAAGTCTAAATATCTAGGAAATGTTTGAACAGAGGATGGAAAATGCGACAGAGAAGTCCGAACGCGCATTGGATTAGCGAAAGAAGTATTTTAAAACTTAAGCAACGTATTAAGAAAGAGGAAAACTTGGTTATAAACAAAGAAAAGACTGCTGGACTACTATATGATATCAATCCTCTTGGTTGTCGGAGAATACTGGATATTCTCTTCACAAATGAAGAGAAAAATGCAGGTAGCAAAAATGTGGTTCTACAGAAGGATATTGAGAATTCCATAGACGAAGCAACGAAGAAGTTTAAACAAAATTGTAACAAAAAGAACCCGTACACTCAGAATCAGAAAGAGACAAAATTATTATTATTATTTTTTTTTTATTCGTTTTCTACGGCTTATCCATCTTTTGCAAGTTATTAGAATCCAGAAAATATTTTTTAGATCGTAAGAATTTTTTAAAGATAATAATGATTAAGTGATACAAGTCTTATTAATTAACCCATAGCTGGAGAGAGATAAAGTGGATTCATATCTTTCCAAAGGGTATTTAAGTGAATTGGAACTCGCCTCCCCGATTAATGATTCCAAGCCATTATCTATTATACTACCTGCACATTCAAGCCTACGTCACCTGGTATTCCCAAGCCATCTAGATACTGAGCAGGCTTGACGTTGCTTAACTTCGGTGATCGTACGGGAACCGGCGTTTCAACGTGATATAGCCGTAAGACTGAAATTTCTTGAACACAGCACATATAATAATAATATCTCGAGAACATCCTCCCGAGAATACCATGGACAGAACATGTGAGCAATATGGAAGTTTTAAGAAAAATGGAAACGAAAAGGAGAGTTGTGCTTAGGATCATGAAGAAAACAGCTGAATTTTAGGGGACACATAAGAAGAAATAGGGCTTGGAGAATCTGACACTGACAAGGATATATTGAAGAAAAAAAGGATAGTTCTCAAGTGAGGTAGTTTCTGTTATTTGGTAGAGATTTTTTATTTGTGATTCAAAAATGGTCAAAGAAGAATGATCTTTGTCAAGAACCTCAGTCTTTACTCACTCAAAGCCTTTTTTTAACTATTGATCTGGGAAAGCAGTTGCTTATAGCTGGCAATTTAGATATTTCTGACCGGGTTTGGCACCATACATAACACCCGTATGAAAGTCTCGATCTGACGAAGCTATTTAAGAACATGACTCAAATTATCAAGTTGATGTTTTGGTTTTGTAGCAATTTGCGGTGTTGGGAGAAACTATCTCTAGATCAGTCTAAATGAATGACGGGATAGGAACTTAAAGGTTTTTTAAGGAACCATCATTGCTTAAAGGTACAAAGGATAGAACTTTTATGGAAAACTCACTCATATCTTGAAGAGACAGGGTACATAAAAAGAAGAAACTCTTATTAAAATGAAAATAACGTCTTTATCAGATGAGCACTAATTCTTACCCTATTAGCAAAAAATGACAGAGGAGACTGAGGAAAAAAATTGAACGATTAAGCATATTCTGATCGTTTTATTTTGAAAGTTTAATTAATCCTTAAATTCATTTGCAAACCAGATTTGTGCGTTTCATTCCTAACAAGAGGCTTTTAAAAACGGATACAAGTTAAGACGATCAATGAAAAGTGGATTACGGTAAACTCTGATTTATATGCAGATACATTGACGTGCAAAACTTTTGGGCCACCTTAGTATATTAATTACTTTTGTTAATTTTACCGCAAAATCGAGAGTGATTAGCAGTATGCTTTTCTCAGTACATTTTATGGTCTTTCAGGGCCAGAAAACAAGTTAATGTACGAGGTTATGCCAAAAATTATCCGCACTTTCGCCACAAAATATCTGTTATGAGTGCGGATATTTTTTGATTTTTTTCGGATTTTTATCAATTATCTAAGCATCGTGATGCTGAAACAAGGTCAGGCAAAAATACTAGGCCACCAGCGAAAATTTCACCTTTCAGATCGTTTATTAAGTTAAAAAGTATATTTTTGTTTTAGCAAAAAGTGATCTTTATTATTACAGAATATACAAAATATTAAAGTATGAAGTTAATAATTAATGTTGCTGCCTCGAATAATTGTCCCAATTCGATGTGGCATTGAATGTAACAAGGTCCAGATTTCCTCATTCTTCTGGCTGTAATCCCAAAGCTCTTGGAGATTGTTTAGTTTTCGTTGGAGTACTTGTTCCCACCACAATGTTTCAATTGTATTGTGACCAGGACGTTGTGCTGGTCAATCTTCCAAAGTTTGAACATCTTTATGTACAAGAAACCTTTTTGTTGCACGCGATGTGTGGCAACTTCTCCATCTTCATAGTTTGGCTGAAGATTAGACCGTAGTAAACTAATATAGTATTCACTGTTTAGGTTTCCACTAACTTTTAATAATTTTTGTGTAGCATCGTTTCTTATACAATCCCCCCACCATTACGTATGCATCACCAAATTTCCCCTTCTTTGTGCTGTATCTTGCATTGTTTCTTTCTCCAACTGGTCTTGTTACATATTCTCTGGCATTAGAATATATCTCTATTCTGCATTCATCACTCAAAAAATACTTTTTGCCATTTTTCCAGCCACTCATGTTAGGTGTTATTTGGACCACTTCAATCTTCTATTTTGATGTTTCGTTGCTTAAAGATGTTTTTTGCTGCTATACACCCGTTCAAGTTGTTGTTGTTTTTTTTTTTTTTTTTTCATAATATTTTGCGTATTGTATCAATTGAAACCTCACCGTTATGATTACATTCACTCCTCACTTGCCCGGCTGTTAATTTTGGATTGCTTACCATGTCTCTAACAATCTTCCTTTCATCTCTCTTGTCTAACTTTTGTGGTTTTCCAGTTTCCTTTCAGATGCCTTTCAAATGATTTGAATGCTGTTTCTGGAAATTCTCAGCCACCTGCTGTTGAGCTGTTTTACACTTCAAAATTACAACCGTCATCCTTGTTTCAGCAGAAATTTTAGCCATGATTTTAATAATGTAAGAAAACAACCTAATTTTCAACTAGGAGATGACAAGGCATCTTACACTCATGTTAATAAAATTACTACTCAGAAAATTTGCATATTAACATGACATTTCTTCTCAGATCTTTCGTAGGCCTAATAGCTTTATATGGGCTTTTTAAAAATTCAACCTACTTAAGGCAGTGTGTCTTCTATTACAGAGTATCTGAGAAAACGCAACTTCTTATATTCCAATCTTCATGCTAATATATAAAACGAAACGTCAAAGCACGTCAGACCTAGTAACGGTTTCCCCTAGCGGAACGAAGGTTCGAATCCTGCGGGAGAACGCGTATTTTTCTCTAATAAGATTTCTCGAATATTCAAGCCGGTAAAGGAAAGTAAATATATTGTTTAATAGATAAACGGGGCGTCTACTCAAATAAGAGTATCCATTAAAAAATAACGTTTATGTAATAAAAATCTGTCGGATAAATAAGTAAAAAGACATCCCTTTTTTTGAAAATTGCTTTATTTACGTTAGGATATGAAACTGAGCAGATACGTGTATTTCAAGGAGCAAAGAAAAATTTGTGCTTAAAGGCACTACTCAACTTTGCTTGGTCATCGACGCACACTGTAGCCGAGAGATCAAAGCACGTCAGATCTAATGACGGTTTCCACGGGTTCGAATCACGACGGAGTGTGGATATTTTTCTCTAATACGATTTCTCGAATATTCAGGTCGGTAGACAAAAATAAATAAATATACTGTTTAACAAATAAACGGGGCGCCTACTCAAGCACGATTATACACTAAAAATAGCGTTTAAGTAATAAATCTCTCTCTCTTTCTCTCTCTCTCTCTCTCTCTCTCTCTCTATATATATATATATATATATATATATATATATATATATATATGAAAAATTCTCAGAATTAACCTGTAGAAAAAGACAATATATATAAAAAATGCTACGCTCATAAAAAAGAAAATAACTCACTCAGAAGGAAAATCCTCGAGAGTACCGCCATTGAATATTGCCCAAATATTAATCATCGCCCAGGCTTCTTCCCTATATCACCTTTCCTAACAGAATTACTACTCTCCCAAGCAAACGTACACAACTGTATCAAGAAATCAAAAGAAAATGGTTGAATCCATCAACACAACAATAAAAATAATATTTCCACCCGTGATAGTACTTGTAATTTTCAGTTGACAATATGAATACAATAGCGTTTTCTAAATTCTTCTAGTTGCTAAGGACATTTTGTTTTATTGTTAATAGTTACTTTGTTTTAATAAATTAATTTAATTTTTGTCTTGAAAAAGTCCACTCTGGACGAAACGCGTCGGCTAATAATACAGTTTTCCTATTGTCTTTTACCTTTACACACACACACACACACACACACACACACACACACACACACACACACACATATTTCAATTTTAATCTCTTCATGTCTACAGTTCACTGTTATCATTCCTATCTCCCCTTATGAACTGTTGGTCTTGCCGTCCTTCCTATGCTCATACGACAACTTCATTCAGTAACCCTCTGCCTTGACTAGCTCTAGTGATGTGTGAACAATTAGTAAAAAAAATGGATGTGCAGGTGGTGTAATGGATAATGGCTCGGGATTCTTAATCAGTGAGCCGAATTCCAATTCCAGTTGGGTTCGTTATAGTCACTTACGTGCAAATACTCTTGGGAAAGGTATGAATCCACCCCTTATCCCCCCCCGGCTAAGACTTGTAACACTAAACCATTATTATCTTCAAAAACAAAATAAAATGTCGTACAAAATATCTAAATTTTGGGATTAAATAACCCATAGCAGTTGGTATGCCGCTAAACAATAACGACTAACTAATCAAAATTAAAGCCAAAGTACATCGATCACAGGTTTCACAGAAGCATGCTTAAATATACAATGTAATATCTGAAAAATAAATGCATACTGTGCTCACATTCACTGTTTGGTCTCTGTAAATGCTCAGCAACTTTGTCTGCATAGAGGAAGTTAATGACACACCTCTGCTTCGGACGAACTTTCATATCAGAGACAATTTTGCCGGAATAACACTCAGCTGCTATTTGTAACAAGGCAATCGAAATTGGACGAAAGATTCAACCTCTATTATTATACCACCAATATCTGCCTCTGGTGTCGATTAACATAATAGGAAGCATGGCTTTCTAGATATCTTAACCAACTATGCCGCAGAAAAGAGACTAGGTCCAAATCGGTTCTACGAGTTTCCCGCAACGGGAAACTCGGAATAGCGATTTGAACCCAGTCTCTTTACCAGTACTTTGTATTAGTTTGCTTTAGATAAATAGATAGATAGGTAGATAGATATTTGTATGTGTGTGCGAGATATATATATATATATATATATATATATATATATATATATATATATATAGTGTATTTGGGTAGAAGTCCCTCTTTTATACAAGTTCCGTTAAAGACGACTGACAAGGCGGGTTTGAGAGTATCAATTTCTTGTTTGTTTTTCGCTAAAATACAAATATAGCCGAAAGCGCTCGGATATGCAGACCATTTGGACAATTCTTACACATTTTGTATCCAGAAAAGAAAACAATTGTACGAACACACGAAAAATGAAATAAGTCGTCTTTAACAAAACTTGTATATAATAATAATAATAATAATAATAATAATAATAATAATAATAATAATAATAATAACAACAACTTTGGTTTGCAAAAAATACGATCGACGAAGATAATTCCGGAAAACAACGCATTCAAGTCAAGATTAAAAGTGAAGTATTACACAAACACACACACGCACACAAACACGCACATATATATATATATATATATATATATATATATATATATATATATAGTCCGATGGAACCAACAGACAGCTTGCCAAAGCCTAAATTCTTTTTCAGAAATAGTCTCGAATAAAGACCAAACTGAAAAAGAAACAGAAAAAAGGACTGAAATAAACTTACCTACTCATGAAAGTGCTCGAAGCCTAGTTTGCTTAGACTGAGCAGAAAACGATTACCAACGTTAAATCCTATGAAAGGACGCCGAGTCGTGACTTGAGTTTCATGCATACACGATCTTTAGACAACTTGAACAGAAATGAAAGAAAGGGAGGGCGACCTTTATATAACTCGTGAATCACTCTAAAACATCACGGAAAAATAAAAATTCATTAAAATGTGGATAACCACACCTACACAGGAGAAAAAAAAAAAAAACCTGTGTGTGTGGGCTAAACTAATATATATATATATATATATATATATATATATATATATATATATATATATATATATATTAATTTCTGATTCCAGTGGTAAGAAGGAAGTTCTTTTCTGGCAGCGTCTTTCCAAAAGCCACTATGGCACAGACTCCCGAGAGGATGTTTCCCCAGACACTATAATCTTAAATTCTTCTAGTCCAGGGTCAATCGTTATCTATCTTCTATATTTCCATAATCTACAATTCTTACGTTCATAAAACGACACCATTCAATAATCTTCTACTTCAAGTGGCGCTTGGGTCTTGCATTGGATGAGCAATAGCGTAAAAAATATATATTGTTATGAAAACTGTCTATACGACTGAATCACGAAACAAAAGTACTATAGAGGAATGAGGTCTGAGTTGAGCGGAAAAATAAATAGTAATAATACCAAGTTCTATTAGTAATACCAAATAATAGATTAGTGACATAATGCAACTAGTATCTTGTCCCACGACAGAATAATATGTCTAAAAAAAAATTTACGCTTGCCAACAGTCAGCTGCGAAGTAGTGTCATATCGAAAGATGTTAATAACAAAAAATAAGCCATTCGAAAAACCTGGTATATATGTGGTGACAGAACAAGGTAAAATCGATCAAGAAATTCGCAACAAAATAATCAATAACCAATCGAACAAGTAATTGCATTGTCGTGCTTACCTGTCAATGACGAGGAAGCTCGTGTGTCGCCAGTTATTCCAAGGTCTCCGATCATATGAGGTTGCCGAGAGAAAAGGCGAGACAGGCAAACTCCCCATCACAAATACTTTAATTCCACAGATTCTTTTTACTACTTATAAGCTTCAACTCTCTTTATCTTTTGTTCAATAAATCTCACTCTGTCCCTCCACATATAAACACTCCACCCCACGCACATAGTTTTCCTAACACATAACACACTCACTCACTCACTCACTCACTCACTTACTCACTGACTCACTCACTATATAATATAATTATATCGTTTGAAACTTGCTATATTTATAGTGAAGAGTGTCCAGTTTCGTTAAGAGAGCGTTTGCAAGCATAGACATCGTAGACATATAAAGCAACACTGCATTGTGCCTGTCAGTTTCGTGCCTCAAAGGATAAATTATATATATATATATATATATATATATATATATATATATATATATATCATGTATATTTGGGCAACAACTTTTCAAACATGTTTCGTTCAATTAAGTAAAATTTGCTGAATTCTTTATTGAGTTTTTCTAGTATTCTGAATTTTTTTTCCGTTTGCTGGAATAAAGGTGTGTAAAATTGTCTCTAGTGTCCATTGTCATAAGCCTTTTCAACAACTTCTTTAGGCATTTTCAAGGGGTTCATCGTTAATTGTTTATATATATATATATATATATATATATATATATATATATATATATATATATATATATATATTCTTTCATTATCTTTATGCATGCATAGATTAGAGTGAACATAAAATACACAAAGAACTTTTTTTCTTATTTTATTTGTATTTTATGTTCACTCTTAATTTTCTAAATTTATTTGATTTATTTATCTGCATTTAAAATCCCTCCGTTTTGTGTCTGATAGTATGATTACTATTGTTATTATTGTAATTTCTACTTATTATTTGTATTAAGAACTCTTTCATTGAACTAACTACTTTTGAATTGTGTTGGTTGGTCATACCTAAAACAACGGACCATATCAACTTGCTATATAAACCAATATACATAGTTCCAAACTTTAAGGAAATTCTTGGCCGAGTCAGTCTGTCAAGGGATACTACTACTCATCCGTTACCTTCTTAAACCTTTCTTTTACCAAAACACACCGTCTATCTCATCTTTTTAAAAGAGCGCCTTCACCTCCTTCTCTCACAGCCTCTCTCTGGCGTTCCCTTCCCCCTATCAATCTAATATATCCGTCCACTACATTGTCTACATTGGCTAAAAAATTTCGGTCTGAAGAAACGAATACTTAGGTATTATTATTTAGTTTTCACTTATTATCTGAATTAAAGTCTCTTTCATTAAACTAATTTGGAATCGAATTGGTCTGTCCTGTCTAAAACAACCAACCATATCGGTTAATTTAATATATAAGACCATGTAGTCACAAATTTTAAAGGAAAAATTCTCGGCTAGGTTAGCCGGTTTAAGCTTACTACTATCCAACCACTAATTCCTTAACCCTTTCTTTTTCTTGCCACCCCTATCCCATCTCTTTTCTCTAGCTCCCCCCAACCCCGCTTTCGATCTAATATATCCGTTAGATGAATTGTCTCCATTTACTAAGAAGATTTCGACCTGAAGAGGTGAACATTGCAGTGTTCACGAAATAAATTATAATCGAAATGAATAATTAAAATTTCCTTCTTTATTATTATTATTATTATTATTACAGTGGAGGGAAACAAATATTGTATTTCCAACTAATGAATAAATATACTTTTCATATAATTAACTGTACATAGATGCATAAAAACGAAATATGCAAAGAAAACAAAAAAAAATTGCTTTAATAGAAATAAATCCGGTTTATCCACTTTAATAGGTGAAAAAGTATTTGTACAATGCAAATTTTAGATTTTAAAACTTTCAAATTTCTTTAATACTCTATATTATTTAAGTGGAATATCATAGAATGTTCCAGTAATGTTATCAGTAGTTATTTTTAGCCTAAAAATACAAACAGAACATTCTGTAATTGATATTCATGCAAGAAGGTTATCATCATAGCAAGAGATAAAGAAGTGAAAAATTCGCAAAAAAGAACTGATTGTTAAGCTCTGGAAAGAAGGTAAAAGTTACAGGAAAATCTCAGATAACCTGAATATTCCATTTACTACCATTAGTTCATTCATTGCAAGTTATATAAAAAACTCAAAACTGTTGAAAACAAAGAACAGGAGGTCCCCGGAAGATTTCTTCAAGATCTTCGACGAAATTAATGCATCAAATTAAACAAAATCCAATGGTTACTCATCTAAAGTTGAAGGATGATTTGTTTTCATCAGGAATCTGTGTCACTAAACGAACAATAAGCAATGAAATTCATAAGACAATTTAAAGTCACGTTCCCCTCGGAAAACTCCACTGCTATTGAAAAGACACAGAGATGACAGGTTGAAATTCGTTGGTGAACATAAGGATAAGGACAACACGTATCGGGAAAGTGTATTATGGACAGATGAAACCAAAATTGAGTTGTTTGGATGTAATTCTAGAAATCATGTATGGAGGAAAGATGGCGATGCCTTCAAACAAAAGAACAGAGTTCCGACAATGAAATTTGGTGGTGGCGGCATCATGGTTTGGGGATGATTTTTCTGCAAAAGGCACTGGCAACATATCAGTAATAAATGGTAGAATGAATGCCACAGCATATAAAAATATTTTGGAAGCAAATTTAATGATTTCGGTTGAATATCTTGAACTTCCTCCTGATTGGATGTTAAAACAATATAATGATTCTAAGCACACTGAAAAATCTGTGAAGAAATATCCTGAAATGGCCAAGTCATACCCCAGATGTAAAACCAATCGAGAATCATTGGCATTATTTGAAAATTCAGATCCAATCGAGAGCTCCAACAAACATCCCGGATCTGAAGACCGTATGCGAAGAAGAAAGGAACAAAATACCAACTAAAACTTGCAAATCATTGAGAACTACAAGATGCTGGCTGCTGTTGAAGTGAATAAAAGCTATTATACAAAGTATTAAATGAAGATTATGAATTCTTTTTTGTGTTGTACGAATACTTTTTTCACCCAATAAAATGAATAAATGGAATTTATTTCTATTAAATCAATTTTTTCTGTTTCGTATGCATATTTAGTTATTATGCATCATGTTTATTCATTAGTTGAAATACACTAAATTAACAATTTGTATGTGTACGAATATTTGTTTCTTCCACTATATATATATATATATATATATATATATATATATATATATATATATAAATAGAGAGAGAGAGAGAGAGAGAGAGAGAGAAAGTGAGAGAAAGTGAGGGGGGCTAATTGCCCATGTCTATGTGGTGGACTATTCTGATGACGTATTGAAAATAGAATTTTCTGTTATTTTGAATCTGACAAATAAAACGGTATGATTATTTTTTACTCACTGAAAAATGCATAGTTTTTTTTTATATTATACTCATAAAATACCACAATTTTTTGACGGCACGGTTACCGACATATCAAAATTTACTCCTGTTTTATAGACAACCTTAATCACTTAGGGCGCCTACCTAGTGATGATTAACAAATTCGTTACATGATTAATTGATAATGAGATCGTTCTACACAGATTAACTATTTTAGTCTTGTGCCAGACTTAAACTGACTTGATACATGCGCACTTCCCTTTTCTTTTTTTCATCCATACACACCTACAATATAAAGACCTGTAACTCGTACACTACAGCTACACACACTTGTCTCTCTCTCTCTCTCTTTCTCTCTCTCTCTCTCTCGTACACTTTATTTTACTCATTTTCTCTCTCATACAATTTGCTTTTTCTCTATCTTTTCTGCTCTCTCATAAGCCCACAAACAATATGACTCTCTCTCTATCTCTCTACCTATCGTATTCGGTCAATCTTTTTATCTCTTCCTTCTCCCTCTCTCTTATTTTTTCCTGTCTCTAATTCTTTGTTTTAAACTTGGTTGTGTTTTCATGACATTCTTTCACTCACAGTGCAAAGTTTATTACAAGGCAACGTTGCGCACAATGTCGAAAATTTCTATCGACAAACCTGCCTTGCAGCCTCATTCGGTGGGGATTTACAATCTGACAATGGCAATAAATAATTCACTCTCTCATGTAATTAATAAATAATTCACTCTCACATAAAGTTATTTCATGACATTCGACTTATTTCGTCTGTGGAGGTTCAAAATGTTCATGCTACACTATTTACATTATTCGGACTATTGTCCTCATCTTTGTCGCCATATTTATTACAACGTTTCGGCCGTTGTACGCTCCGGCCTTCTGTTCTAGTTCCACGTGCCATGTTTAATGGATGCCAGTTATCAGTTATCTCCTGTTAATTTTCCCTCTGAAAGTTTCCCTCCACTGCCTTTGGGTTCTGTCACTGGATCTAACCAAAGCCTTTATTCACTGTGCCATGTGTCCTTGAGTACATCTGTGTATGAATTTCTGGGTATTATAAACCTAATGTTTCAGCAACCATTTTTACCAGTACTCATATTGCAATTTTTGCTGTTATCATTGCATGTTTTTACCAGAGCTCATATTGCAACATTGACATTCCAACCAGCTGAATTATTTATTAATTACATGAGAGAGTGAGTTATTTATTGACATTGTCAGATTGTAAATCCCCACCGAATGAGGCTGCAAGGCAGGTTTGTCGATAGAAATTTTCGACATTCTGAGCAACGGTGCCTTGTAATAAACTTTGCACTGTGAGTGAAAGAATGTCATGAAAATTATGAAATTAATTATGGCAACAAAGATGAGGACAATAGTCCGAATAATGTAAATATGCATAATACCTCATCTCAGAAATATAGACAGATATTCATGGTACTTTTATATATCTCTTCACTTTATCTCTCTCTTTCTCTCTCTCTCTCTCTATACATATATATATATATATATATATATATATATATATGTGTGTGTGTGTGTGTGTGTGTGTGTGTGTGTGTATGTGTGTGTGGTGATTTTCTAAGAGTAGCTTAAATATAGCACAAGGCC